GAAAAATTAAGTGTAAATAGCTTTTTGAATACCCTTTATGTTGGCCACTGGGACTGTTGTGTAGTTGATAAATGTTGCTCACAAGAAAAATATTGTTCCGAACAGAAGAAAAATATAATATAAGGAGACAAGAAGACATGCCATGTTGCTACTTTCAGTAGTAAACGCATGTTTTTGTAGTGCTAGCGCCCACTTACCCCCTTAAGTGTTGTGTTTTCTTTGTTTCAACTGTGCAATGATCTGCCAAGTAATCTATTTCGGTCCTAATGGCGATTTTCCTGACAAATAGTGCCAAAAAACGTGCGATTTCACTTCTCCATCTGCCGTGTATGATAAGGACAATTTCAACATAGGAACATTTATTTGTATAATATTGAAATACGTGCAGATCGTATAATAAGTGGGTCAGGCATTCTTAACAAGTAATGTTTCCTTTTAAGTGTTACGACATAGCAATGTTCTAAGGAGATCATCAGCAAGTCAAATAGAACCACGAGATCACAGGATTAAGCGGTTTGACCTCTGCTCTCTGTGAGTCACACTGGTACTTGTTTTTCTCGCATATTGACGGGGGCTTTTCAGAAGAAAGAGTGAAATATTATAAATGAACGTAGAAATCCAGAACCGGTTTCATGGATCTACATTTTGTGTAAATGTAGCGTGGTTTGCCCACGTAATCCTAAGGTTAAAGTAATGGTAGGAATATAAACCTGTGTTTAAAGACACACAATCAAATCTATTAGGAACCGTTAATACTTTGTCATCAAAGCTAGCCACAGAAGGACTGGTACATTCTTCGCGGGCATTAAATCTAACCACACTCTGAGACATGGGACTTTAAAAATTCTAGTGGATTTTACAGTGTATAATTATTTACTTATGTAGGGTATGCTATAATTACAGTAAGGGTATTACACAACTACAGTTGCTTCAAGGATACATCTTGTAAGACTTCATAGATGTGTCCTCTACGCGACGCCTCAGATTTACAATGAGACGATCTAGTTATAAAATCGTGGAAGTGTTTTTTTTTCTTACACACAACAACGTCCAAGACTTAGTCCTAGGTTGTAGGAAAGTTGTTGAATCGATGTGAAACTCGTACAGACCGGGTGATTAACAGGGTGGGAGGAATCGTGGAATGTTGGAGAGAACGAGAAACGTTATGGGTGTGTGACAAGTGACCTCTACATAATGACAGCCAGCCGAATATGTCAGTGCGTAGCTGCGCCAGAGGGTGTTTTGCGCTTAATGTGTGATGTCAGACACCATTTTACACTCGGAAGGATAATCCTTGCCACAGCTTTGATGTGCCCTTCTCTGTATATTGTACGGTGTATATTTTTCCAGTGAAGCTTGAATTCGTCCATCAAAAACATTCTATGGCAACTATGACTACAAGTACGAAATGGACCCGGCTTGAAACCGTGTCGCAACTCAGATAAAGGTCGAGGTCAACTTTATATGTACAAAACACAACTTAAAGAAAGCATGTGTTGAACTGAGTCGAATGGAAGTAAACATATTGTATCCTTAAGTCACATTTCCAATCCGGAGCCCGGCCGGGCAGTGTGTTGGAACGAAAGGTATGATATAAAAGACAACAAAACATAAACAAAAGTTTTAAAATAATAATGGGCACTATATCTGCGGATATTGTTGATATGGATTGTTGATTTTGCTGAAACGTAACAGCCCGGCCGGGCCCCGGTTTGGAAATGTCACCTCAGTACAAGCATAGTACAAGGTGTTACCTGGTGGTCTCGAGTGAGCTTGACCCTCTGGTGAGCGGACACGCACTCGGCGCACAGAAACTCCTCGCAGTGCAGACATCTAGCCGCGGCCTTCTGTCCGCCGTCACACACGTTACACACCACGTCTGACTTGATCAGCCTCTTCTGGATCTCCACACTCGTGGCGAGCGACACGATGAAGTGGTTATCCTTCAGCCACTGCAGATCTCCATCGGGCACGGGCACGTCTGTCGTACAGACAGGACACGTCAGACATGCCGGCACTTCCTCATACTCCTCCCCTTGACTGGGATTCTCCTCTAAGTGCTTCGCTAAACAGCCTTCACAGAAGGAGTGAAGACAGGGGAGTAGCTTAGGCCTGTTAAAGTCCTTCTTACAGATCCCGCATTGCAAAAGGTCGTCTGATAGCTGCGTCAGAGCGACACAGGCCATGTCGAGCGCTCGTCTAGCTGTCCGCTCGCCAGAACTACACGAAGCGACCGGGCGAGAGCAATTTTCAGCTCCGGCAATTATTCTGGCCCTGCCTGTTTAGTTCTTTTGTTCTGCGTCGTTACAAAGCTAGGCGGTTGGGTCAGGTGGGATAGGTCATACCTCGCCCGGAGAGGGATGGGTCTCATCGCGCACGAACATGACGTCACGACGGCCTCGAACTTGCTGCCGTATATGGTAATCGTCGGAAGGAGTTTTAAACTACGTCAAACGAAACCTTTGCTCTTTTGTACGTTGGTGTTAATCTTCGTGATTACACTAATCACGGTAATGGTATGTTCGGTAACGAAGAAAGGTGACAATAAGTTGTTGTGTGGAAGTAGGGGCGTAGTTTGCGGTTTACCTTTCAACTGCTGGTAGTCAGATATCATGTCAACTTTCTCATGGAATATTGGCCTAATAAAAGACAGTCATAGCCGAATTGTAGGGCCTGCACGTGATAGTGTATCCATTCACTCATTTTCGAATGGTTTTATCTTTTCAGGCATCACTTCGACAGATACAGATACCTCAAGGAGATTAAGAGCTGATCGTCATCACACCTTCTTTCTTTAGAAATGTCTTAACCTTTACCCTCCTTTGGTCAAGCCCTGGTGGTCATGATCCCCAAGCAGATATTGTGGTGGCTGCAAGATAGTAACAAATTGGTCTGGCTGTATCCATTTGCCAGGTAGTTATCATTTGTGTTGATGATGTAAAAAGAAAGATACCAGAACAAGAAGAAAACCCGATAAAACGCTTAAAATCACGCCGAAAAATAAGCCGACGTAAACATAGGTTTAGAGATGTTCAGAGAGCACACATATCACAGACACCAGTAAATCCTGTGACCCACTGAGAGATGTTGACATCCAAGAAACACAGTACCCGTGTTGTCACCTGGGTGATTTTCCACTTCACCGCACATAAACAATAACAGGAATGTACGTCGTCTGCCTAGAGGCGTGCCAACAGGTGGTCTGAGGTTTTTAAACTTTCCCCCCAAAAGGTTATCTTTTTTGTAGACAAGTTGTCTGGTGTTAGGAGAAGAATCATCTTGTTATGGATTCCTACCAGAGAGACTGTCAACCTTTAAATCATTTTTATAGAAATAACCCAAGGAATACAGCACTGCAGTATTTTGTTGGCTTGTTCGACGCTTGTACATGTGGCGTACAAGGAGTTGATCACGCGAATATGCTCTACATTTTGGAGAACAAAGACAAAGCTTTGTGTCTACAAATAAGTACCACGCCCCCTTCCCCCTCCAAAAAAATCGTAATGAAATCAGAAAAATCGCATGTCTTGTTTGGCATGCATCTGGAAGATGACAGAGTTCTTAAACATGTACAACATGTTAGCATTAAAGCGATATTATGTAAGACTTTTGTGCCCAAAATGTAAATATATATAATTGACATTTTCGTCTAGAGATTCATTTCCAATAACTTTCAATATATTAGCGTCGCTATGTCGCTTTTCCTGCGACTCAGCGCAGCACGAGAATGCACTGGCTCCTAAAAAGAATGTAAACAAACAGCGGTTCGGGTATTTCCGGCAGCTTCAAACACGTTTTTGCGGCGCAATATCGTCGATCTGTTACTCACAAAATGTCATTATGAACCCAGGTAGGGTTGGCCTAGTAGCTTACAGCGCAAGAAAATGTGTAAAACAACGATGTTTAAAATAGTGAAAATCTTACATAATATCGCCTTAAAACTGTTATAACTAGATGGTATTGAAATGAGCCTTAGGTAACGATTGATATACTGAGGGACAGAAATTGTATGAAAAAAGACAGTAAAGCCATTGCTCTTTAATATGCATACAGTCACAATAGAAATGGTTTGGATAGCAAATATTATTTGCCGCAATAAACATGGTACCATTCCTTAAAGCAGATAACTTGATCTGTAAGAGTATACATGTCCATGTCCATTGGGTGTATAAAAATATACCTGACTGTATATTAAACTGTTTTGGGCTATTCCATATTCAAACCTATACATACATAATGCTGATAAAAAAGAGAAGCTCACTCCTGTATAGATGGTACTTAAACAAACCTATTCAAAAACCTATTCAAACATGTTATTATATGCAAATACAGCCTTGAATACTTAAGTTGGTTGATGCCTTAAGTACAAAATATATCATAATATTTTAGCACAGTTAAGACATTTACATGAAAAACTGATTTGAGAATAATACTGGTAACAAAACTTAAGAGTTGAGATAATAGTGCTTATTTGATGAAGAGAAAATACCATTACAACTTTTGCATCTGCCTAAACTGGAAAGGCCATGTTGCCTCCCTATCCCTAGTATCAATATAAAACAGCTAATTTTTACTAATATTGTATGTACAGTTGCATGGTAGAATGTTGTTACTTAGGCTTTGTATAACATTTGAACACAGAAAAAAAATCAGTAATACCTTGATTAAATGATACTATCTTTTTCAATTTCCTATGTCTGTAAAAATACTTCTTCCATTCATGTTGATTTGATTATATGGATGACATCCTCTGGGAACCCCAAAACTGATGCGAGTAAGCAAATATAAAAAAAGTTGCCTTCATTATGAAATCTAGGTGGTCATGAAGGTTGAACAAATTTTTTATTGGCATGGTAAATCATACATTTTCATTTCTTCATATTTCGTCTTGTCCTTTGGAATGGATTTTGGCATTCTGCGACATTAGTATCATTTTCCAATTATTTTTTTTACGGCAATTTATGGCATATATTTGCTTATTTTGCAGCTACTTTGTACGATTTACAGTAAGGTCAAAAACTTTTTTTGGGAAACGGACAAAAATTCATGCACACGCAGATGTCATCAATATAATCAAATCAGCATGGCCTTATATAGAAAATTCAGAAGTACAGCCAGGTGTAAGAAGTTTGCTAACAGTTTAGAGACAACTTTGTCATTGATGACATGTCTTTAAGACTACAACACCATATAACTTAACTGTTTATAAATACTCATACATTCTCTACACTTTACAAGTCAACCATTGCTATCATGATTCAAATCTGTTCTCTTAGAAAACTAAGCAAAGGAGTAAGATTTTGAGGTCATATAAATCATGTTTGTGGAAAATGTGCTTACATTATCCCAAACTACTTACTAATATTAGGCATATCAAATGGAAAAATACAAATTCTTTTTGATATGCAGAGATCTACAAGTACCACTTTTAATCATACATGTACGTTGCACAGTTACTTGTATAAATGTACTCTGTAACAATGGGTGATATCTTCTTGAATATTGAAAAGTCACTGATCACTTTTTGAAACAACAAAAGTAAGTGGTCATGAATATGTAGTCTATTGTTTGTCCATACATGTATTATGAACTCTATGTTGGTAATTATAAGGGTCCCTAGTAGAACATTGGCAGAACATACTGCACCTGTGCGAAACCTGTAATGTATTGTGTATAGCACTTTGGCAGAACGTGTCATATAAGGTTATATTTGCGTACATAAGGTTGACATTCCATCTGTAGTTTCCAAATGTTATGGCGGAAAAGATACCCTCTGCAACAGCAAAAATTGTAATGCAACGGTGACCAAACATCCAACAAAACCGTGAAAAATCAAGGGTTTGCACAGGCACAGTCTGTTCTGCTGACATACTGTTTCTAGTTAACCTGTGATTGGTCAATAGTGCGTCACATGACCTGCATCATGTGACATGGTTGATGACATATGTTGGTGGTCCCTGGTTGTTGAGCAGTGGTTCTGTCTCCTGTCTGTCCTGCGGTTCGGGCTGCTGGATGTTTGGCTGCGGCAGCGCTTTCTGTCGTTTCTTCCTGTAGAGTTCGTACGGACACGGCGGGAAGTCCTCGCGCCCCCGCTCCAGGTAGAACTGACACACCGCTCCCTGGATGCTCAGCAGTGCCCACAGAACTACCAGGACATAATCTGTCAAGAGACATGATTCGATGGCATTAATGAATGATAGGTTTTCTTTGTGGACATACTGTAAATCAAGATTTTTTCGCAGTACTTTTACACCCGCAGTTTCTTCTGTACCATGAACTTATCATTACCGTGAACAGATAATTTGCCAGCTTTCTTTTTGTTGCAGTGTGAAAGTATAGTTTTGCAAACATGTCCATTTTTCTCAGACTGTAAACTTTTGCCACAGTGAACATAAAGTGATTTACAGTAAATGTATTTGGTCTCCCTGATTATCAGATATTGCACTACTAACAAAAATGGCACCTCTAGAATGATGTCATGATTTATTTTCCAACTGGTAACATACCTAGAAGAACAGTTTGTGAAGTTCAAGAAGAACAGACTTTTGCTATGCTACATGTCCATGTATGTGAAACTTTCCACAGCTAGGTTGCACTACTCAACAGTCCCACTAGGAGGCATCACTGAACCATACCTTTGACCTGGAAGGGTGCACTGATGACAGCTACCCTGAAGTCCTGTACCACGGCCCTCTTGATGGGGTTGAGAGCGATGTACGACAGACTGGTGTACAGGTAGGCGTCCAGCATCAGGATGACTGCGTACGAGCCAACCACAGAACAGGACACGATACTTAACTGGTGGAAACATGGACACATCTTGGTAAGAAATTGAACCTGTACATAGTAGTTCACATACAAATAAGTCTGTATAGTTATAGTAAAATATCACTGCAATTTCACTTCTGCTTTACTGTTGTATTTCCATGCATGACCATAGCTTGTAAGAGTATGAATGTACAAAAAAGGTCTTTCATTCATTACATCACAATTATAATTTAGACAGAACTTTGACCAACTACAAGTTGTTTATAAGGGAAGGGCTTTGCTCACAGTTTTTGTGAAGGCCAGCAGAAAGACTGGGACAATCATGATCCCACAGGCAAAGGACATGCCATAGTTGAAGTCGTTCACCCACACATTCAGGTTTCCTGAAAAAAATGTAAAAAAATGTCTTACATGACAAACAAACCATGATTTCTCAGTGGTAACAGTAAGATGTCTTACTCAAACACATTTATTTATATGGTGAGCAGCCTCTACAACTCTGTCCTGCAACTTGCTACAATATTCTAATCCAACACCACAGGGTGTCTGCTACATCATCAGTTACCATGGTGACAGCCATCTGTTCCAGGTCATTGACCTTTTTTGTTGGCGAAGAAGAGGAAGAAACAGAGCAAAGACATTATGTATTCCTTCTGCAAAGGTAAACATGACTATCTAGTATATAGAAAAATTCAGACCATTGCATGTTGTTGTCTTACCGAACGGTGTGAAGAAAATGATGGAGGCAAACAGGTACCCAAGCACAAGGCCGACTAACAGCACACTCAGTACTGCCAGCCCAAACCTCCACCAGAACATGGTCCACAGGATCCCACCTACTACTCCCACTGTACAGGAGATGGCTACACGAACTGGTAGGGAACAGATACAACATTTGAGATGGTCCACCATACAGGAGATACCTATACAAACTAGAAGGGAACATATACAATGTTTGACATGGTCCACTGACTGTATGGGAGATAGACACTGTTTTTGGCATGTACAAAGGGGTGGAGCCATTGATACACAATCTTCTGACATGCAATACATCCAAAGCTTGATGCAGATAGGATATACATTGATCAATTGGCATTTGCTATTTAAAACGAAGGGGTGGCGCCAATAGCAATAGCAATAGCAATAGTCTTTCCCAGAATGCAAACATGACAAAATTCACCATTTTTACAGCCGCATATAAAGACTATCGCTTCAGTTGAATATCTCCCATTAAAAGTTGAAGAGAAATTCTGACTCACCGACGTGACTCTCGTCTGAATTCATGGAGATGAGGATGAAGGTGATCAGCATGGTTGCCAGGAAACCAAATATAAACAGCTCTGTGGGACATGAAGTACAGTTGAAGATGATTCTTACATAAAACTTAAAAGAGCAAATGTCTCTCAGAACAACAAGCCTGCATTTTACAGCAGTTTTTCCTGAAGTATGTCACAAAGATATCAACCATCTGAAATATTGTTCTAGCCGTCACTGATAATGACCAATTTAAAAATAAAGGATTAAATAGGGCCCTACCTGTTTTAAAATATCTGTGTCCAGCAAAGCACAGAAAGAGACCGATGACACCAGCAATGGTACATAGGCCTTTGGCTACATCATTGTCTATTAAAAAAAAGTGTAGAAGAAATGAGATGTTATAAGGCTAAGGCTAACAAAACATCACACATACAAAATACATTCAATGTTGGGGTGGGTGTGCTTCTTCATCTTATTTTCCTCATATCATTCCAAATATTTGAAATGTGTAATTCTTAGTAATTTGTTACAAGATAAGTGAGATAAATCTAAGGGAAAAGCAAACCATGAACTGTTGTGAACACCACGTGTTGATACTTACTTGCAAAACAGCCGGCTACTGTATCAATGAAGCTGCAGGCGTATGTATGTACAGGAATGTAGGAGGCTGAGGTGTTCAGTTTGGGATCACGTACAACAACATTGTAGATGACTCCCTGTCCCTTGAATGATGCCAAGGTCAAGTTGGGCTTCTTCTTGCTGTCCAGGGTTCTTATCTGATAAAAAATAATGTGACATTTTAACATGTGCCAAACAAAAGATACCACACAAATGTTTGCATCTTTACCAAGTCTTACATAAGTCACTAAGCAGTATAAGAAGATTTCCTCACAGGTCCATATATATGTAGTAGTAACTTCAATTTTATTACATAATGCAAATGCTGATTGCGTGTATATGGCTGTTCCTTGTAAAAGAAGAGGAGGCAATCAGATTGCTGTCATTTGAAGGAAATGAATTTTTAAAATAAACCAAACGTCCAGACATAAGAAGAATAATGTCAGGAAAACCGGTTCGTAATCTTCCTTAGCCTTGATAAAGACATTAGCTTTGGAATTTTGGGATGCAAAGAAAGCAGTGGGCTTAAGATGAACACTTTTTCTTCTCACCAGATGTCCATTTGCTCTGATGTCTGCCGGGAGAGTCATTCTCTTCAGCCCCTGTACCAGACTGGTCTCACTGAAGTCACGTTCGGGCAGGTAGTACCGGTACACGTCGTACTTCAGCCGGTGGTCCCCGGACGATCCCTGGTCGCACTCCGGGATGCGTTTGGGTTGGCGCGGGAAACCGATGTTGGAGAACTGGAACTGCAGGACAGTCTCGTAGAGGTTGTAGTTGACGTGGATGTTGGGGTCATTGTCGAGGGGAAACTCCTGGTTACAGGCGCCGGGAATAGGATCTAGGACATCAATAACATTAAATTTTTATTGGGGAGAATGAAGATTACTTAAAGCTCATTAGTAATCTTCAGAAAAAAATCTACTTGTCCTAGAAATCATGATATTAACAACTACTTATACATGCAAATTACTTAAAGACATATGCAAATTGTTGGTAGGCAAATCACCCAATTGCCTACCATTCACTGGTTGTAATGTCATGGCAATTGCTCAAATGATTTGTTTTTTCTGTTTAAGTTTTTTCATGTCAAAAATAAATTAGGATGTGAAAAAACACTAATAGATTTACCACTGTTTTCCAACTTATATTTAATTAGCTACTCACAGTCAGATAACAATCAAATTTTCATCACCATACTATGAAATTCAGTATGTACTTCAAATCATGCCCAAACACAGTAACTGTAATCTTATCATTATTAACCTTCAGTCTGCCAAGGTAGCTATTTTGTACCAAATCTGTACAGGACATGGGATTATCAATATTATGCAGCAGGGGGAAGGTTAATTACCTGAAGTGTTATATTCCAGGGCCAACATCCAGACCTTGCAACCCTTTGTCTCATTAAGCGTAGAATTGACGAACCAGGTCACTGAACTCTGACCCTTCTCCAGCAGGGTCAACAGGCCGACGTCCGAGTTGTTGACGCTCGTGTAGGTGTGGTAGTCTGGGGTCAATGACCCCACCACGGTGGTTTTGATAGCGTGAAGGTGTAACATCGCAAAGCTGGCGTTAACACTCACATTGGACAGGGTGACATCTATCGTGTCACCTGGTCCTAGGGTAGCATTGGTCCACGTGTTGTTGAATAGCGATATTTCTGAAATTAAAGATGAAAATGTGGAAACGGATTATTTGCTATATATTACAGTGATTTAACTTCAAACATAACGCTATAATACTAGTATATCAATGAGATTAGTCTCAAACCTCCATGAATACATGTAAGTTTATATCATGTACTAGCCATGGATATTCTTGATTCGGGCCTATATTATAGTCCTCAGCAAGAGTCGCGGAAAGCGCCATTGGCAGAACCGAACATAATTTCCCATTGGCTTCACAGTACTCCATTTTCGTCCCAGTTTTCGGGTGTACCAAGCTTCCCTGTAATTTTACCTCACCGTTGGCCGGGTTGGCAATGTTCAGATCTCCCTAATATACCGAATATGTAGTATATACGCTCTAAACACACCCGGGTCGCCACTAGAGTAAAACTGCTGCTTTGTAGCAAAATTACCGAAAATGGTAAATTTTGTGGCGTTTTCGGTAATTTTGCACAAGTCTGCACGGCTTATCATGCACAACAGCGCAGTGTTATTTGCAGGTCATAACTTTATACTATACTAGTATGTTACTCATGTTCAACCATCAAGATTTTCTATGAATTATTCAATTAATGACTGTCTACATCCTTTGAACGTAAAGAATCACCAAATTTTGAAACTAAAAACACCTAGACTGTGGAAATCTTGGCATTATGACAGCTTCTCTACTCATATTACAAGAAAATCAAATTAATTTCAAAGATTTTGCAGCACCAAACAAATTTCCACGGTTAATAAAGCATACCGGTGCGATTCCGTGCATCTAGAGTCATCAGGGTTGAAAACAAAACAGCTACGAGACACCACCAACTCATCTTGCGCGGATAGCCTGTCAAAAAGAAGACTTTAAGGGATCTGAAATCTTCCAAACAAAATATTACTTCCTTCGGCGGCCATCTTAGTTGGGAGATACCATTGGGAACTTTTAGGTTGGGTTGAGTGAATTTTTTTATCGATATAACATGCTTCATCTCTGTATCTTTTTAATCTATGCTTTGAAATATCGTGATAGTTTTAAATTTTAAATATCAAAATACAATTTTCAGATACTATTTTCTTCCTCTCGAAGACAAAACTTGCTTTCCAAACAACTTCAATGGTGAGCATCCAAACGCACCTTCAATCGCTGAAATTCATTAACTGTTCACATCAGCTTCAGAAAAAAAGTAGAATCGACTATATTTTGTGTTTAATAAATGTGTTATTATGGCACAGCTCTGGTGTTGAAATACTGTTTGATTCTGCGCACAGGAATCACAATAACATTTAGTTGCGTTGTTATGATGCGCTCAAATTGGGGATCGATCAAAAGAGTCAGAAATGTAGATATTATATCTACTTTAAACGGAAGAAGTTTAATAATTTGATGCTTTTCTGAGTTAAAGTCAATAGTCTAGATATATTGACACGCTAGTATCTTAACAACACAATGTTATATGCTTCGCAACACCATCCCCCATTTCGTGCACGGATGATCCCCTGTGCTCCAAACAGGAAGTCCTTCGCGGTACCGAAGATAGTTGAGATACCGTGGCGGGCAGATTGGTCTGCGGTGAAGGGCTTATACCAAGCGTTGTACGTGGGCGTTTTTCGGTGTTTTACGTGAAATGTAGGTTTAGAAAGGGCACAGAAACGCAGCTGCCATGGCTTCGGGACCGGGGAAAACGCCGCAAGATGTGGACATGAGGCACTACACGCTGCCGAACGCCCCGCTGAAGTCTAACGGGGAAGGGGAGGGAGGTGGGGCCGAGGGACAGGACGGCGGGGAGACCGCCGTGTCGTCCGCGGTAGACGAGGGGGGAGGGGCCGAGACGGACGGTAAGGATCCCGATCGTGATCCCGAGGCACCGACAACGCCCAAAGAACAAACAGATCAAGCAGAAGATCCCAAAGACGAGCCGGATTCCGTAAGTACCGTAACAAATCTTTTCACCGTAATCTAATCCGATGGTATCCAGGGATGGTATCTGTTACCAAATCGTCACGGTCAACTTATTACTGCTAAAGATCTTGACAATTTCCTACACAATTCACGTGTTCCGCCCCCATCCAGATCACAACAAAAACGTAAAATCGGGAAAATTCCGTGGACCACATCCGTGCGGTTTATTTTCAGTCTCCGCTTTCCATCGATCCATTTTTACTCCATTCTTTCCATATCAGGTATTTGACGTCACGGAATGTTTTGATGGTGGCAGCCCGGCTATGGTCATGGCGTACCACAATAGGACAGTATTCCACACGACAAGAAGCTTTTCTTTACCATAATAACAAATGTATTTCATTCCCAGCTTTTGTTGGGGATATAAGGTTATGAATCTTTAGAATTCTGTAACAATATTTTCAGCACTGCTGGTCATATTTAATACTGTAAACCATCTTTTACAATTTGCAAGAAAATTGCTCTTTACTGGGGCGTCAAGGGAGTGATTTGTCAATTCTCAAAAACGTGGGATGGCCTGTCGCGTGGTAACAACAAACACATATATCCCACTGTGAAATAATCTAATTACAACAAATTAAGTGTCAATAGTTATCTCCGTGTTCTAAGGGCCGTTGTGGAATCTTTTCACACAATCTGGGGATGTCATGCCACAATGGTGATACCTCCAGCAGTTTGCCATCTCTGCTGTCAACCCCAGGTGGAAGAAATGATTAGATATTGGTTTGTAGGCGGCGAGAGAGTGTCGGTCTGACGTTCAAGTGACGTCCCTCAGCTCTGTTGCTAGGCAACGATGAGCTAACGTCAAGGTGCGGCACGTAACGCACATTGGATTAGTCGGTGGTACTGCTCCAGGATATGTCTGGCTGCCCGGAAATGGTGATAACCCGCACCGGACTATCCAACTATGAATAACAAATGATTTTACCTATAGCTATGTACAGAGAGAAAAGTAATTTATCCGTAAAATCAGATCAAGATCATTAAGACAAATGAATGTGGGCTGGTATCTCTATCTATCTTTTGCTTTCAGACCAGTCATTCATCGATAGGGTACCATGTGATTGTGATACCAATGAATCAGCGACATTAACTGTACTCTAGTACAGAATCTAACTCAATATCAAGATCAATGGGCTAGTATGTATGTAAATGAGACAATTGAACAGAGGGGACGAAAAATACCATACACAGGAAAATGGAGAGATGTAGTTGAAATGAAACGCCAACCACATTTCACACAACCCTCATGCATGGACCTTCCGTATCCATTCCTAGAAATGCACCATCTGTATAGAAGGTTTAGTATCAATGGTATGAATGAAGACCACAAAGCAAGATGAATGGGCTCAGGCAACAGTACTAGTACAAGGTTGTTACTGACCCAGCTTGTGTCAGTCTCAATGTTGTATCACTAGTCCAAGTTCACTAGTAACTGGCAACATTCCAATTCCAATTTTTGGCGTCTGCTTGGCTATTGGACTTGCTTTCTGGAACGTCTAATTGCCAGTAAACCAACATACCATGTGATTGCAGGTCATATGACTGAACATGTGCTAGCATGTTATAGTATATGTATACTTGAAAAGAAGGGTTTTTCAAACACAGCGGATGTATTAGTATCATTCATATCAACAGTCTTGAGACTGTAATCAATTAATGGCTAAGGCCATCCAATAAAGTATGAAATGATCAATATATACCTGTAGTTAGTTTGCAAAGTTTGCAAGTCAATGACCAACAGTAGCACTACTATCGGATTTGCTTTAAAAATTCAAAAGAGATAAGCTTTACCAGGCAAATCTAATTAAGCGGCTGGAAACTTGTGCATGCAAGCTTAGTTCAAAAGTATGCATCTGGAAATTGGAGCTGACAGCAAATTGAATTAGATAATTGTCCTGTAGTGTGCAGGCATGCAAATGTACCTGCCACCTGATGTTACTGTGGAAAATACCTGCATGTCAGGTAAGGCCTAGGAAAAAATGTTGTGTTTCCTGTTTCAGCCCTGAAAAAAAGTAGATTCGGTAGGTAGGGATGATCTTTTTTGCTTTCTTTCTTTCTTTTTAGACTTTGACAAACTCTACTCTAGTGATCCCACTTATACAGTTTAACAAAGTAAAATATGCAGGTGAGGACACTTTCATTTTCATTTGTCAATGTTGGAAAATTGATTGTACAATGTTTCATCACAGTCTGCGTGGAGAGTATAGGTTTGATGCCTGGTGCTCCCCCATATAATACGACTATACCTGGACGTAGTATGTTACCCCTTACATCATGCCCAGACACTAGTAGTGAGTACTAGTACCACTTTTAACTGTACAACTAACAACTACTATAGTAGGGACTCAAAAATACAAACTGTAAGGGACATTAAAAAACTGCCATCTGGCATTTAGTCTTAATGTTACCCAGAGCTCAGCACGTTATCAGACTGCTGTGAAATGGAAATTTGATTATGGGGTTGACCCAGTGCTATAAGTATATATAAGCTAAACCTACTACGTAGAGTTATCTTCATGTAAAAATGACTGCTAATTTCAGATTTCACTCTGCATTCAGTGGAAAAGTTAGTACTAGTAGTTATAAGATGAGCCAGGTGAAATCATTATGACTCGATGGCTACCAGGTATTATCACTACATATCATCTGACATATCTTCATTCATGTGTACGTGTGGTACGTGCCATGAGAACACAATGATTACAATGTATCTTCATGATTTAATAACAGTTCTTAGACAGTACGTAATTTTGCAAAGTATATTATCAATTGAGTGGCCATGGAAAAATTCTTTGAAGTATCAGAGGATGCTATCTTTCATCTGAGTGACTGAGAATGAGTCTGATTACAAGTGTAACCTGTATATAAATGAGTGTCTGAATCAGTGTTCTAGCCAGCCTGAAATTTTTTTGTCATCTCAATTTTTTAAACATAACTTCATGTCAAGTGCTGAAAGATATTGCTTGGCCCACTGAAACACTGCAATTTGAGGGGTATAAATCATGCTACCAGATATATGCTGTAATAAGCTTAGTTTAATGACGTCTCTTTCCATATCTTGCAGATTTTTGTCCGTCAAAGATGACAGATTGGGCCACCTTTTTGTCTCTGATGAGCAGCAAAATTCCGTAAAACGACGGAAAGACAGACAAGTTGGCTTGAATGCTAGTTTGGATTGGTATGTCAGGGTTCTCCCCAGAAAATTTTAGTATGAGGGAGGAAACTTACCGATCACACACTAAGCGACGCGCAACGCGCCGGGGGGTGGTCGCCGGGGGGGTGGTCCGGAGGGGGGTGGCCCCCCCTCGGAGGAGGAAGCTATAGCATTTTGACTGTTATAAATAGAAATGGAGGCCATTTCCTGCAATTTCAGCCTTCTGTCCTTCCTAAATATACAACTTACACATAATAGCTTAAGAGACTCCAACACCAAGTTGAAAGAAAAGAAATGGCACATTTAACCATGATTTAACTTCAAGATCAAGGTGTTGGGACTCTTCTAGCTTATTACTATAATTGGAAACTCAATTTGTATGTGGTTGTCATTATGCATTTATTTGCCGGTAAATGTGTAACATTATAACAAGACAGGTAACAGCATCTTATAGAAGTCACAAGAGGATACATCTCCTTTATTTGTAGTTCTGCACCAAGCAGTGCAGCACTTGTATACACTACTACTAGAACAGTCTTCACTATAATATGTAAATGAGCAAAGTCAAGTAAATCTGTTGGACCAGACTCTGGCCGTGTTTAAACGGAATCACCCAAGGCGGTTTACATGTGGTTTACCCCGAAGCCGGTTTCAAGTGGCTCCATGTGAACGCTCCGAAATCACATTGAAAGCGCCTCGATCCCAAGCCACTTCTAGAGGTGGTTTCGAATCGGTTTCCCCGCATCGCGATTTGCGTCTGAACGCAATGTGATTTCAATGTGACTTCGCCTAGTCAATACTCATGGATTACGGGGTGATATTTCGTTATTCATATGCAATACCAACTTAAAGAGCAGTAATGGTCAAATAATGTGTCCGTTCTAGGGCGAGCTTCACCACCTCTGGCGGGACCACGTCGGCATTCGGCCGAGATACGCTGGGAGGCGGGCATCAGCAAGCAGGTCGTTGACGTCTGACATTAATAACACGCCACCTTGTGTGTTTTCATCAAACAACAATAAATGTAGCTCAAGTGAATTGTGATCGGACACGGTTTCACCAGATGTGAGGAATGTGAGTTACCCGAATCGCGGTTTGGGTGATTCCGTTTAAACACGGCCTCTGAGGATCAGGAGGTACTATTATCATGTGTCTGGGGGGGGGGATGTGCTTGAAAATTCATTCATAGATGGCTTCTAAAAGTTGTTTTTAGATACCTCAGCAGATGTTTCAAATGCCGATAAATTAAGTGTTATCGCCAAGCAAGGCACTCCAAGCTCCATGTCTTCACTGAATTTATGTGAAATTTCAGTCTTTGAGCTTGCTAAATGTAGTCTACATTTTTTTTTTAATTTTGAAAAAGAATATCCTTTGGGGCTGTTTTTCAATGTGTTAATTGGAAAAAGCATAGTGTTAGCACTGCCAGGTATATGTGACATTGTATCATATCAGTCGTAACGCCCAGGCCAATTTCTCCTGGGTGATTGCTACAAAAGTGGGACAGGCCTCAATAAAACTATGGATCCACTTCAATTAAGGTCAATCAGGGGCATGTCAAATAGATTTCCATCTTTTTACTGGCTATACTATAGATAGATGTTTCAGACATTTTGCTTCACTTTTATTCCAACCATAGATAGATTCATATGAATGATGAGAACAAATATTTCACTTTACAAATACAAAGTACCTCAAAAACATATTTTTATATGGCAATTTAATGAAAGCAGTACTACGTGAATGCATGTGACATCCATCTTGTTAATTACACGCACAGTGCACTGATGATTCCAATCTTATGACTGGTAACCTCCCTGTTTTATGGGTGCCTTATGTTTGTTGGTGTAGCCAAGGATAAGATTAAGAAGAGAATCATCTGTGATATAGACTGGATTATCTGTGATATAGAAAAAATACCCCCCAAAAAATTATTAGCCCCAATTGATTGTAATTCTATATCAGAGACTTACTAGTATGCTAGGCCTTATTCTTGTTATTGTCTTTGTAATTACTATTAGGATGTTAAGTTTTATTCTATACCTCTTAAATGCTCAATTGTTGTTACCGTAAGTTGTACCATGTACAATTGTCGTGCAAGAAAGTTCTATCTATACTGATTCCCCTCAGTAATGTGTTTGTACATTGTAGACATAACCTCCCTGAAAGAACTACTAGTACTTGGAACGTATAACTACATTTCTTTATGTTTTATATGTAACATTTGTCAACATTTGATGGCTTTTCTAGTATTAAGAAAGTGCGATAGATACATCTTGAGTGTTGAGTCTTGAAATACATGGCATGACCAAGGTCTCAAGACCTGAGGTGACACACTTTCAGATGAAACGTAGCCAACTCCTTTGGCGCCATGTCAGCCCTGGTCCCCTCCTCCATTCACACACACGTCATGATTGATGTAAGTAATCAGAGGTGTGATGGCTGGGTGTAATGGGTTTTCCATGGCAGGCCCTGCTGTTGATAACAGTTGACACTCTGGCCTCTGAATCAATCCAGCAAAGGTTGATTGTTGACCTTTGATGCATGGAGGATTTTTTTAATGACCCGGGCTGACCCCAAGCCCCACCCTAACTTAAGTGTTTTTATGCGGTTTCTGGTAAAACATACACTGTGATGTCACTGCCTAGCAACTAAAGGGCACATGTTTGGTATAGGAACAGTGTAGTGGCTTACAAGTGAGTACTTTTAAAATAGCCTAGTAGCTAAGGCCTAAGAAAAAAATGTTATGTTTCCTTTTTGTCCCAACCGACCCTAGAAAAACTGCGGACCCTAGTTTTTTTATGTGAGTGTGGAGACTGTGGACCCCAGCAAGGGGACATGACTTTTTCGAGCTGATCAACCTTTTCTATCTCCATGATCTGACACCTGATAGAACATTGCACAATCAGTTTTCCAACATTGACATTGAAAATTACAAGTGTCATGCAAGTTTTACTTTGTTAAACTGTATTGTAAGTTCGATGTAAGTTCGATCACTAGAGATTGCCAAAGTCTATGGTTCAGACACTCATTTAGACCCTGTTCATACCAGACTCAAAAACCAAATTAATTTACCCCATAAATGATTAGCTACATTCACAATATTTTGCAATTAATGCATCATGAATAATTCTATTTTGATTAATTTGTCCTTAACGAGGTTATGAATAACCATTTCCGGAATTACTATGGCTGTATCAATGAGGACAAAATCGATACCCCATGGTACCATTCTTGTGCAGGTTTGGCAGGTTTTGAAATATGACTAATCTAATCATAAAGTTTCCATTAAGAAAGAAAAATGATTAATGTCATGCAAATGTAGGATTTATACAAGTGTAGGATGTCCAAGTAAAGAAGAAACCATTTATCAACATTGCATATTGGTATTTAACTACCATATGTTCTAACTTTTGTTTCTGTTACTTGGAGCCAAATTTTGTAGTTAGCTCCAGGAAATGCATGGAAAAGTTAATTAGTAGGATGTTGGGAACTAATTATGTGATAATGGCCTGAAGTATTGCATCTTGGCATGGAGCCTGACAGAAAGTAAGAACCTAACCTAGCTTCCTGAGCACACAGCCACTGGAAAATCTGTTCATCAAAGGCAAAGAGTAGAACAGTATGACTGAACATACACATTTGCTCTCGCATGTTTGAATCTAATATGAATGTTATGCAAAATAAATATGCTATTGCAGGTACAATGTATACATTGTAGATATATATTATAATGCTTTAAGTTTGTGTGGCATTTATGTTACAGTTTTGAATTCTTGGGCCACTACTAGTAGTCTGTTTACTTTAAAGTTTTGGATTATCACTATGAATATTCAAGTGCGGAAATGATTTCTCAACTGAGAAACATGTGCCTGTTTGAAACAACTTACTGAAGCAACAATATTATTTTTTTGAATATTGCATAAGTTTATAGTAAACTTTTTTGGCATAGGTTTAGTACTACTTAGTAGTTATCTTCATATTGAAAGGACTCTCGACTAATCTCAGATTGCACCTGCATAAATATTCATTGGAAAAGTTGTAAAATGCACCATGCTTAGCTTAATTTTACATGTCATAATAGAGATTGTAACATAGTGCAGAAAATATCAAAAGCAGTCATGGGTGGGAGATGTAATCCCATCAATGAAAACTTCAGCAACCTTGTAAATTATTAATATGAGAAAAGCGACTTCCGGAACCAGCCACTCTAACAGCGGATATTACTTGCCAGAAACTGCCAGATCCAACAAACCATTCAAATGGTTGAAGGGAGGCTATAACTGGGGTTGATCATACTTATAAATATGGTAATGAACCTAAATTTTTACTTAAAATTTAGCGATTCTATTTTTAATACACTGAATAATTGATTTTGGTACAAACGTGAAGCAATTATATAGAGACTCTAATACTCCACATATTTTATGAATGGAAAATCCCCTCATATAATCCCTGCTAATAACCATCCCCCTGGGTATACATCGGACAGTCCCTTATCAGCTTGAAGGACCATTTGTTGCTCAGAGTAATTCCTGTACAGGGGACCAAGATGTCAGACTCAGAGGACAGCTTCTCACATATTGTGCCTTGTCCAATTCAGGTATTTACTGATGTTAACCTCTAGTACAACTGTTTTCCAAGAGTAAAATGTTGGACATCCAATTCTGTATGATTTGGTTTTATCGGGGTATGTTTTGTTTTCAAACATTTAGGAATACGGTAGTCGTGTTTTCTTGTCTCGAATGATGGATGTATTGTTATGCTAAGTAGACTGTCCAAGTTTATTTCAGTATAGGTAAGAAAAGTATTGGTGATCTAGTTTGGTAAAATGTATTTTGATTCCTTGTTAGAGCCACTAGACCTGCACAGTCATGTTATAAATAAGTGTCATAGACAATGTTTGCTAAGAGGAGCATTAACTTTCATAGGGTTGACCCAAGAACTAATTTCCATTTTGTTACACTACAGTCTATATATATAAGCATTTTAAGGATGTTGTTGTTTCATGGTTTCAAAAACGGTAACTGTACATTGCCTTTTTTTTTGCACAGTTATCAATTTTTGTCAGAAGAATGTTTTCTTTTTCTTGACATGATTGTTTCAATGTCTCTTCATCATGTGCGTGTATCAATTCTCAAAATATCCAAAATTTTCATATTATTTCATCCTTCTGTAACAACACTCTTTAAAAATGCATGCTAATTACAGTTTTACGAGTACCTCCCCATGCAATAAGCCATTATACAAGGTACATTGGCGTGCAGGTCAGGGATTTCTAAACAGGTTTTCATCAAAATTTTTTCTATTTTCTAGTTCAGTGTTGCAATAATATTATTGGTAGGGATAGAAAAATGATGAAAAGACGCAAATCACTTGGCTTGTCACACTCATGTGAAATTAAAAGTACCATAAAAAAATTGTAATTTACAGTAAATTTTTCTTCTCTCCCTTCCAGGCGATGGCAGCAGAAGAAGCGTACGATGAACCGGACCGTGCCAGCATGTGGTCGGTCCACATGATCAAAGACTTCCGTTACTACTTCCAGCACCCGTACGCCAGGCTGTTCGTGGCGTACCTTGTCGTGTTCTGCAACTTCCTGATGTTTGCGGAGGATCCTGTTTCCCACAGGTAACGGTCGCGAAACATTTCTCTTCTTCTTCTCATTTGTAGATCTACCTTCCTGTTAAAGGCATCCAATAAAAATTGCAAAGTCAATTTCCTGGTCATTCTTTTAATGTTAAACTTAAAGTTGATTCAACCCTACCTATATGGACAAGGCATACTGAAATCTGGAAGGCAAAAATGTGATATTGCTGACAGAAAATGGTTGCTTATTTTGTATCGTAAGGCCACACCAATTTAATTTCTTGGTTAACGGATTCGCCGCTTCATTTTTTTCTAATTTGCAAATAAAGATAAAAATCCAGAATCAACTGCAAAATGCTCATATTTTGCCCTGAACAGTTGAAAACAGTCCTTTTCATCCTAGTTGTTACAGTTATTCCATCTTTCAATGCAATGGTATCATTAAAAGTTCAAAATTCATTGTTAAAATTTTGAACCAGCCTGGTGTGTTGACTTCATGGCTCCTATCGTACCATTTTGGGCCATAATAGGATGCCTAGGCCTGTTTTTATTTTTTTATTTTTTTCGCCCGCCCGCTCCATTATTTTTCTAGAAAAATCCGTTAACCAAGAAATTAAATTGGTGTGGCCTAAGCTAGGTATTTACCACTATTTGTGGTTCTCCTCACATAGCTTGTTTTTGGGCTATTTCAGATGCTTCAAGTATAAAATGACGAGGAAAATTTTCTAAGAAATTGCAATTAATGTCAATGTCAGGCAGATTTCCTCATCCAGAATATATTTTTTTTCTTTTTCCATTTTGATTTTTTGAATTGGACGCCTTTAATCTCCAAGCTGATCTGTTGGTGGCTATAATATAAGACTAAGAGTATCAAATTGGTAAGGCAGTGTCCAAAGTGCCACTATGGTGAAAAATGATACCAGTACGAAATGAAAGCCTTATAAGACATGTCGATGAAGGTTAGACATCCAGGTAATACGATGCGCCAAAAAGCAGTTACTCAAGCAACTGGATATGATTTTGAAACGTCAGACGTTTCAGCTAGTATCCACTAGCTTTCGTCAGTGACTGAGAGACCAGAGGGGAAAACAGGTTTTCAGGTTTCCTTATAAGACATGTATGAAAAAGCTGAAGGCTAAACTTCTGCTCGGAGAGTACTTTTCTTTAGGAATCATCAATTTTCATAATTTTGAAAAATTTTACTTGATGAAGATAAATGGATGAAACTGTGGACATTTTGACATTTACTCATTCCATATCGACCCATTCTAACTGCAGGCACGGAACATAGGATTAGGGATGATTAGAACCAGAAACATTTCTTTGATTATTAATCATACATAAATGTGACATAATGATCAATATTCAATTAGGACCTGCAGGGTATTGATATCAAAGCTTGTCCGTAATTAAGCCCCCTCCCATGTACTGTTATCGTATACAATGTATACTATAAAAAAAGCAATGCTTAATTTTTTTAAAAACATATTTTACATAAGAGATACATATATCACACATATTTCACCACACCCATGCATGTACATGTAAATTTATGTCATTAGGCCACAGCAAGTAAATTTTATGGATGATATCCTCTGCAGACTCCAAATCTATTGTGATAGGGCAAAAAAAACAAGGGCGGCCAAAAAAACAAACAAGATCATTAAATTTTCAAATTTTGACATCATAAACCTTGTTAAACAAGAAATTATTCCTATATTGTGCTGAGTTTACTGCCAACTATTATAACATCCATTCGTCACTGCGTAAAAAATAACCGTGTTTCCAAAATTAGCTTTAGGTGGGAGATGTCTAGGAAAATTGCAGATTTGGCCAGCAGCCACTACCTAATAACCCTGGAAAGTGTCCCTGTCCAAATCAAATAAGCATTGATGCCGACATTGAAGTGGGTTAAACCATTCTGATTTTAAAGTTAATTAGATTTGTTTCTATGATATATAATTGTGTTATGATTGGCTACTTGAATACATGTAAAGTTTGTTGTGTGTCTATGTGCGTTATCACATTCTTTTTTACACTTTTACACTTTTTATTTATTTATACAGGAAATTGCGCTCAGGTCATTTGACCTGTTTTTCAGACAATCCTGTTTTTTAAAAATGCAATACATTCACAAATCACAATAACAACAGTTACACAATATACAGTTATTCTACCAGATATGTTACATATCATGCATCTTTGTTAATCTTTGTTGTAATTCTTTGTTGGAATGTACATGTAGTCCGGATAGACAGTGCCACATAATTTTAATTAATAACTGATCACCCACCCCTTACCCATGGGGTGTGTCTCTCTATACACCCAGACTTCAGCACCAAGGACAGAACCATGATTTTTCTACGGCATCTTGGCAGAACATACTACACCTGTGCAAAACTCAGATTTTTCAAGATTTTCATTAGATGTTTGGTCAAAGTTCATCAGAACTTTGCCAGTTGCAGACTATATCTTTTCCGACACAACATTTGAAAATGATATTTATCTAGAGGGGATGCCTAAGAGGTTGGGAGTTCGAATCCCGGCTGTTGTTGCTCACCCGACATTCACACTACTGTAAAGGGTCGCAGTCCTTAGGATGGGATGTTGAGCCATGGTCCATAGTTCATTGTGCTTGTTGACAGAAGTTCATGTAGGAGAATTTCCCGGTACAATGAACCTGCACAGAAGTCTTCTCAGTCACAACCAGTGGAAGATTCAGTGCATGAGCTAAAACTGGATCAAGATCACTTTCCTTTTGTTAAATGTGCCTAATCCTGCTAACCCAACCCTGTTGTGTTTCTCCAGCATCACACCAGCGAATGTGATTGTCGTGGGAAACATTTACTCCTTTATTGTGGACAAGTACCCAGGGGGTGCGTGGAACGTGTTCAAGGTCTTCATGTGGCTCCTGGCCATCCTTGTAGGGATGATCCTGGGCAAGTTTCTAGTGCACAAGCTGTTCTTTGGTGAGTGTTGTTTTCTTCTAAACTCTTAGATTAAGTAGCTTGTACTTAAATCAGTTAATATTGTATTGACACTTAGAAATAGCTTTGTTTGAATGTTCAAATCTGTAGAATTGTATTTCCAATTTTCTTAAGAGTTTGTGCAATCATTGATAAAGAGTTTGTGCAATCATTAATATCATTTAATAAGATTTTTGGAAGACTGAATATGTCATTTGTCAATTTACCATTAAATACATAAAAGTGTATGTTGCAAGAAACCTAATGATTACATGGACCAAGTTCATGACTAGAATAAGGTACCTACCTACCTACCTTGTAGACGCAAGTATGGACAGCTGTCTCCAGACCCCTCTGTCTCTTGAGGGGGTCAGCCTTTCAGAGAGATAAGTATAAATATAGATGTATTTTCTGCCAATATGAGTTAATCAATGTGTTCCTCGACCACTACACACCCCCCCCCCAGGCCGTCTGCTGCGTCTGAAGATGTTCCACCGTGACGGCGGTTCCTGGTTCATCATGTTCCTGACAACCCTGATGAGCCTCTTCATCTTCTCCAACATCTACAACGGCATCATCCTGGCGGCAGGGCTGGGGTACGAGCTGCAGATCTCTGACGTCATGGGGCTCAGGAACTCCTCATTCATGAAGGCTGCAGCACTCGGCACATGGATGGGAGACTTCGTCACCGCATGGATGGTACTGGGATCATAGTAAACTTATAGATAGCTTGTAGTATTGATGGGTATACAATACAGTTATAGATAGATTCCAATAGAATTAGGAAAAGTCTAAATCAGCTAGAGAGATGTTCGTCTGTCGTAGACAACATCGGAGAACCAGAGAGAGAGAAATCAGAGTATTACCTTATGAGTTGGGCCTGTGTGGTAAAGGTGGTACATGTACTGTAGTTCAAAGCACCAATAGACAAGTCAGCTGGAGAAAATGTCTTGTTGCGTTGCTTTATACCCTTCATGCGCAATTATATACCATATGTGGCAGAAAATTACATTGATGGGGATGGGTGCCATCAATAGTTTTTACTACCGGTAAGTGTTTTACTAGAATACTAGTAATGAGATCTCAGCACAAGCTTGCATTCCACAAGAGCATAATTTGTACATACATGCTGATGTCTTTTCAACATTTCTTGTTGTGTAACTAATAATGTTGAATTGATGTACCAACTTACTGAATGGTTGTTCTCCACCATCACCCCAGGTGACAGACATGATGCTACAGGACACCCTCTACGAGACGTGGGCCCGACCCGTCCGCCACTGGTGGCGCCAAGGCTGGCACCGCATCATCCTGTTCTGGACCGTGCTGCTGTCCCTCACCGGGGTGGTCGTCATGGTGATCACCACCGACTACATCGACTGGGACTACCTGAACCGCGGCTTCCTGCCGACCAATGAGCTGAGCCGAGCCTTCCTGGCCTCCTTCATCCTGGTCATGGACCTGCTCATTGTCATGCAGGTGGGACAGGGTTCCCAAGTCTGGGTGTATGTTAGATGGGTCGCGTTCCATTCAATGTTAGATGGGTCCCATTCCACTCCATGTTAGATGGGTTCCATGCCCATCTCCATTTCTGTAGCCCTTGGGCCACACAGTTACTGTGTGCAAGCACTACAGCAAGAGGCTAGCCCACAGGTAGTGTTGTGTGTTTGACCTTAAAGCAGAGAAAGCAGCATGTACCTTACATGTATTTTAAAGTCTTTAGTATGATCTGGTGTTTGACCTCAAGCTCTTGGTGAGGAGGTCCAATCAACCCCTGACAGCAAGAGAGTGCATTACAATGTCAATAGACGCAGTAGAGAATGTATTTTGGGATTCTGGATAAGGGGCAACTGCACGTACATATAAGTGTGTTTGAATATTCTTTAAGAATAAAAGTCATATGGTTGGTGTTAAAAACTTGTACTGTTTCCCCCAGGACTGGGACTTCCCCCACTTCATGGGTAGTATGGACATTAAACTGCCCGGTATCAACACCACTCACATCCGGCTGCACATCCCAAAATGTCTGCGGAAAGACGAGTGGACAATCCACGTCACAGGTAGGGAAAGATTACACGTAGCAAGGTGGCTTCAGGAATGAATGTATTTGAGTAATAATAAAACAGTATTTTTTTTTCATTTGTAAGTATATATCCACTCATGCAGGCAATTAGGTGAGGCCATGTGAAGGTAAACATGATTGAAGGTAAACATTATGACTGTATTTGCTTGCAAATATGTATGTTACCTTAAGTTTCTAATTTTTGTCTTAAGTTGTTCTTACTACAAACCACTGTGTATTTTTCTAGGGAAGTGGTTCAACTATGGAATCATCATGTTGGTGATAATCCTGGACTTGAACATGTGGAAGAACCAGATCTTCTACAAGCCGTTTGACTACGGGCAGTACGTGGGGCCAGACGACAGTATCCACTTTGTGAAGGACATCACCACGCTCCAGGGCGACCTGTTCAACCGGACGACGCTCACGTACGACTGGCGCGCCAACCACACCGACCCAGCAACAAATCTGACATATTTGGAAAGAGACCTTCATATGCATTCCAAATATATCGGATTCACGCTGGGTATCAAGGGCATCGCGTTCGTCCCGGGCCTCATGGCCTTCGTCACCTTTGGCGTCCTCATCTGGTGGTACGGACGCTTCAAGCCCAACGAGAAGGATCCCCACGCAGACCGCTATGTCAAGAGGAAGCGGTCGAAGAGACTGAGGGTGTGGCAGAAGAGTTCTGCCAAACCAAAGACGACCGTCGTGTCGCTAACAAACGTAAATTCTTTAAATGTCCCGCCGCCACCCGCGGCGTACGACACCCCCGATACCGAGAGGGAAAACGGGGGCCGGCCGTTCCGGCGGAGAACGGAGCAGCGCCGGAGGGACTGGTGAAAGTTCAAGTGCTGTCAAATGTGTGAGAAGAGCCCCGGGAGCGACAGCACTCCCGGGTGGAGAGTCTGGAAATACTGTGGGAGGAGTTTGAGGAATTCTGGGAAGACCACTGCCAGTGTTGGAGGTGCGGACTGTCCTATCATGTATCGACTGCCGAACAGGCTGACACCGGGCCTGATCAGCGGTACCGACAACCACGTCTGTCTTGAAGCACGCTGGCCATTCCTCGCTGAAGGAATGGCCTAGTGTGGTTCAGTGTGCTACATGTTTTTTTTCATGATCTAGTAGCTCTCTACATGTGATGTGGTAGCGACATAGGTAGTTGACAGTCCAAAACTCAAAATATGTCGTAGTGGAACACAACAACTTGTCAAAAGAAGAATGTAGAAAACATTAGCGCCATCAGCAGTGTTTTCCAATGTAGTGAAGAACAAATTCCCAGACTTAACTTAAAGCCCACATTGCCCCTGAACCCAGCATCACACTTGGGTTCTATGCTGTGAAGAAACCTTAACAGCAAGAAAAGTCAAGATCCTGCAATCCCACTAACATCTGCAAGGGGGCTCTTTTCACACAATTGAGGCAATCTCTTCCAAATAGATGACATAAGTAGCCATGTGTTGTAGTAAATGTACAGATACATGAGAAAATCAAAATGATGTGTTACAGTCTGTGTATGATCATGTTACCTTGATACCAAAGGAAACTTACTGTCAAAAGGGAAACTGTACTTAAGAGATAATGATCCTTCCCTTATTTTTATCACATAAATGTACAGGATGAAATGTTATTTCTAAAGTCTCAGAGAGAGAAAACTTTATCTTTGGGAGAAAGGTTGATATGTCAATGATGTAAGATCATTTAATGATTTTATTCATGTTTTAAGAGATTTGTTACAACTTTGAAACATTTGACAAAGGGGGGTTGTAAAAATTAAAACAGCTAAAATATATTGACAGAAACGTACTGTGAGAAAATGTAGATATTTTGCTACTTTTTTGTATGTATGTGTGTTAAAAAGCAACTGACTTAGAGTTCTATATAGAGAGGCTGCATTTTCTAAGGATATAGTGTCTATACACGTACGTTATAGAAAGAAGAAATGTCTACATGTAGCAAATATGAATGTACTGACTACTCCTACCTTCTGTAACGCGTAAATCATGGACAAACAATCATGGAATAGATATTAATTACATCTCCCTAAAATTGTACTGGAACAGTAGGGAAAGTAGAGGGCAGCTATGCAAAATCCATATATGTATATAGTGGAAATCAACTTGGAAATGAGAAAATACAAGTCACTTAGAATGCTTGATGTATTAACAGACCAAAGTGAAATGTTGTCTGTTATTAAACATGTTGGATCTTTTATAGAGCAGAACATTCACTGCTAGATACAAATGCAGATAACAGGTGCAAATTCTAACAAACCGATATTTGAAACTTCCGGGAAGGAGGCCATGTAGCTTAAGAAAGGTACATGGTAGCTCGAACCCAGTTCACTTTCACTTGCCAGCAGTGTAATAGAACTGAAATCTGTCAAGAGCTATTTGTGAAGCAATTATAAAAAAATGCAGCTTTCAGTCATTGATAGCATAGACAATCACTTTGTAGTAAGCTTGGTGTGATTCTGGCATTTCTGACTACAATGAGCTTTCTTGCAATTTTGATTACAGCGTTTTTATTAAAAACTTCTGATCAATAGTAACAAAAGTTTGTCTCTATGTATATACATGTGGTCTGCATAACAAGAGTAGTTTAAAATCTGTGAGCTTCTGTATGCTTAAGGCTAAGCATGGGTTTAATTGGCCACACCAAGTAAATTTTATGGATGACGTCCTCGCGCGCATTGATTTTGGCCTGTTCCTAGAAAAAAATACAAGAAATTCCGCTTCCTGTAACTATGACCAAAGAGTCACGACAGTGCCGCAAATCGTCAGATTGACGTGAAACCCGTAACGCGAAAACAGGACAGGACGACAACTGCTATTCCACCTGATTTATTGCTGTTTTGATGATGAATAAAAGACTACACTGTGTCACCTCATTCAATTTGTGTCCTAACATTTTTCGTCTCTTAGTATATTTCTAATCTAGGCATCTTGTTTTTTAGGGCCCTTCTTGGTTTTTTTTCGCCCTCTCACATTAGATTTAGGGTCTTCAAAGGACGTCATCCATAAAATTTACTTGGTGTGGCCTTACAATGAATAGTCCATTGTTAGTAACATAAAATTATAAGAATATACATTGTACTTTATGATATATAATTAGCACCCTCTCCTCTCCTTACAATTTGAAGAACAATTCTCACCTTTCATTTGTTATCATGACTCAGTCATGTAATACTACGTAGTAATTCATACAACGCAGCACAATCTTTAAATGAAAATCTTTTGAGTGCTATATATAATAGCACCATAAGGCACCAGAAGGTATCATAGCATAATGAAAATATGCATCTGAAGGATAAAAATTATTTCCATATTTTAAGGAATACATGATTTTGCATAATTTTATATTTTTGAAAATGCTGAATGAAAAATTTACATACCCAACCAGTCCAAAGAAAGAAAAATTCTATATCTCCTTTCTATCTCCTGGACTGTCAGTGATGTCCAACCCTACAAAAGTTAGTATCTATAAAACTCAGCTTTGTAAGGTCCTTCTACAGGGACCCCCAGGTACTGGGACTGGTCCTCAGACAGACGGGTCAGTTTTACTCCCAGGTGCTCCAGGTGCAGCTCAGCTACCTCCTCGTCCAGCTGCGAATATATTAGGGGAGAAATAGCAGTAGGTAACCATTAGTGGTAACTACTTTGTCACAAGAAAATGCACAGTTAAAAAGAGCAGGATTTATAAGAAAAATTCTTATGTTACGGTGTCTGTTGTGCTTGTCCATTTGACCAATCGATGTGTCCAGACCTTAATTCCATCAGACAGATAATTCGTATATCATGCAAACATCTGTTGAGCTACTGTGCAAGAGTCATTATCTGAATATAATAGATAAACTTTATTGTACAGCACATGGAATCTTTTGCTACATAACAACAGGCATAAATGAGATTTAAATCTGCCCCATACTAGACTAAGTCTACTAAACACAACAAATGCGGAAGTAACTACGCCAGTACAGCGAAAAAAAGTCAAGGGATTAAGACCTGCTTAGACATCAAATTATTTGAAAACGTATAAAAAAATGCCAGCAGGACAAGGGTTAATTAGATTCTTGTGTCCAACCTTCTTGGGCAGCCTGTGCACGCCCCTGTACTGGTCAGCCCTGTTCCACAGCTCCATCTGTGCCAGTACCTGGTTAGTGAAGGACATGCTCATGACGAAGCTGGGATGACCCATGGCACAGCCCAGGTTGACCAGCCGGCCCTCGGCCAGTAGCAGGACATGCCGGCCGTTAGGGAGGGTGTAACGGTCAACCTGAAACGTGGAGGGTGTAACGGTCAACCTGAAACGTGGACAGTGTAACTGCCAAGCTGAAGTCAAAACTGCCCATGACTAGAGAGGTAACACTTGGGGGTTCAGCCTATTACAAACACATTTCATAATATACTATATGATGACCAGCCCCTCCAAATGTAACCCAACACCGCAGGGCGTCTGCTACAGCACCAGTAATACCATTGTCCAGGTCATTGACAATATTTGTTTGGAGAAGAGGAAGAAGAAACTGAGCAAAAACAATATCGTAACCTTCGCAGAAACCCTCCAGGTAACCAATATTAAGTGCACAGGTGGTCATTAAATACAGGATTCTTAATGCTTGTGTCAACGGGAAAAATAATAATAAGGTGTCCACCAAAAAGTGGTTACATTAGCCAGGTGGTCCTTAGGAGAAGTTTGTAATTAAAAGTCAAGCCAATAACATTTCTTGGATCAGACTTATTGAATGGGCACTGGTGAAAGGAAACAACCAGCCAAGAAACCATGAGCTCTCACAATTTACCAAGTTCTATCATCTACCTGAGGTTTGATGTTGACTTTCTGGCCGTTCTTGTTCAGCCACTGGACATCGACCTCGCAGTCGAAGTGTCCGATGTTGGCCAGAATGGCGTCCTCCTTCATCTGTAAGATGTGCTCGCCACGGATGACGTCCTTGTTACCCGTCGTGGTGACAAAAATATTCCCTACCCTACAGGCCTCCTCCATTGTGGTCACCTCGTATCCTATGAAGCAAGAATTAGAGAGAATATCTAGCATGGTTGATAGCTGTTGATTGCTCAAATTTGAAGAAGTCAGCACCCATAAATGATAAACATTTTGTCAGCAAATTATCCCTTTTAAGTATAAATTTGCACACCATGCTGACAGAAGGAAAGGCAAAATTAAATTACATGGCAAGTGATTAAGAGTTCACCTAGAAAACAATGTGAATCTGACATTTTTAATTTTCTGTGCCATATTTAACCATTCAGATAGCTGACTTCAGTTGGGGAGGTAAAGGGCACTGTGGAAGGAGAGGGCTCTGCCTTCCTATACCATCTGCCTTTAAGACACATTGGATCAGCACCCCGCTCAGCCCCTATGTACCTACCACTTATTACCCCAACACGCCCAGGACATTGGCAAATCATATTATGCCTGCACTAAACCCAGATTTTTGTTTTCGTTGCATGTTTGGTCAACATTGCATCAGAATTTTACCCATTGCAGACAATATCTTTTCCAATACAACATTTGAAAAGTATAGATGAGATACAAATGTATGTCATCCTTAAACATGCAAATACTATCATCAAAACATTTTGCCGAAGAGCTATGCACAATAGATTACTGTTTTAGCACAGGTGCAGTACATGTATGTACTACCAACACCCTAACCTGAGATCGCTGCCTGTAGAGCGTTGATTGGATCAGCCTCAGTGATGAGGACACGAGCGCCCAGACCCCGCAGGGCCTGCGCGCTGCCCTTCCCCACGTCCCCGTACCCCGCCACCACGGCGACCTTCCCCGCAACCATCACGTCTGTCGCACGTTTGATCCCGTCCAGGAGCGACTCTCGACATCCGTACAGGTTATCAAACTTACTCTGCAGAGGGGAATGGAATTATTACACTACATACTTTGGGTAACAATGAAGTACTAAAGATTATAATATTTGGGACAAATCAGTATCCTTTGTGCCACTTCAATTTTCAAAGTGGTGCACATTTGACAAAATTGTTATATAATCTAAGAACAAGGCATTTAAAAGTAATAATCATATGGCTTGAAAAAAAGGTATGAAGCTTACATCTACAGCATGAAATGTGTTACCTACTTCCTCAAATGATAGAGACGTACCAAAAGACTCTAAGATTTGACATATCACATTACATTTCGCTATTCTTGATAAATTTAGGGCAACAAGACTATCGTTTGGAAATTAACACACTATGTCCTGATATATATCTCATACAGTGTTATTGGCACCTTGGTAACAGAGTCATTGACATTGATGGCAGGTATCTTGAGTTCCCCCGCAGCAGTCAGCTTGTGTAGATTATGCACACCTGTTGTAGTCTCCTCTGAGATCCCCCGGATACCTGAACAACGAAAGGTAGGATGTTTGGGGTGGGGACTTTTTGGCTTGTTACCATTCTTACTAATCTTAGTACTCTGAAAGTTCTGGGCGAAAACTTTACACATGGCTTAGGAAAAAAATGTTGTGTTTCCTGTTTCAGACCTGAAACAATTAGGGTCGGAAGGTAGGGATTATCTTTTTTCCTTTTCTTTTCAGACCTCTGTAGTGAGCCAACTTATACATACATACATACATACATACATACATACATACATACATACATACATACATACATACATATATATATATATATATACTTAAACAAAGTGAAACTTGCATGAGGACACTTATAGTTTCAATTGTCAAACCGATTGTACAATGTTTCATCACTCAGGTGTCAGATCATAGAGCTAGAAGAGATCAATCAGCTCAAAAAATTTATGTCCCTTGCAAGGCTTCACAAAAAAAAAAGACTAGGGTCAGCAGTTTTTTTCTATGGTGTTGGGAAACAGGATTTAACACAACATTTTTTCCTAGGCCCAGACACTGTCCATATTTTTTTAATTCATCCATATCATTTTTTTTCATTCCTAGAAAAACTTAAAATACTTAAAAAAGGTTTAAGTTTAAACCACCATGTTGCCAGGTAAATGATGATTACATCTTTTAATGTACTTTAAAAAAAGATGGGAGTTTTTCTCGCAACCTACCTGCAAGGTATTGTGGGTATTTTTGATGTATGAGGTTGCACAGCTCTCCGCCATCGTCCAGGATCATGTTGAGAGGTTGTCCGTCAGGAAACACCAGCGTCTGCTCGATGCACCAGACAAACTCCTCCTCCGTCTCCCCCTTCCACGCGAACACCGGGACGCCAGTTTTAGCGATGGCGGCCGCCGCGTGGTCCTGGGTGGAGAAGATGTCACAGCTCGACCACTGGACCTGGAGGGTAGACGTTAATTCAATTAATTAATGACAAGTAAAATTGTCAATTCAAAAAGAGATTGTTAAGTGATGTTAAAACACCTGTTGATTGATTCTGCTACATGCAGCTACAGCAGGGCTCGAAATTCATTTTGGGAATAGGTGCACTGGTGCACCCAACCTAAGAAAATTGAGTGCACAAAAATATTTTGGGTGCATCATGTAAAATAAAATAAGTAGAATGTCAGCAGAAACTAATCATGTTTCATCTAAAGAGTAGGAGCAATTGGTGATTCTCTACATATCACCCTGGCAGAGGTCTGGCGAACCTCTGACTCATAATAGCCATGCCAGAATGATCTGTATGATGATTGATTGTGGGCATTAAAAAGATTTAGGAAAATAGAACAAGTTTTTGTGTTTGTGCTTTGCAAAACCTGTAACTACAAAAGGTTCATGTTAAGTCTCTTGTAAAAGCCGGTATCCAAGTATCCAAGTTGCCCTGAAGACCCACCTGTGCTCCTAAGTCTGTAAGTGTCTCGATCATGACTGCTGTCTGAATGGTCATGTGCAGACAGCCGGCGATCCGCGCCCCTTTCAGCGGTTGGTCCGGTCCGTACTTCTTTCTCATCACCATCAGTCCCGGCATCTCCTGCTCCGCAAGTCTGATCTCCTTACGGCCAAATTCTGCCAGTCCGATGTCGGCTACATGAGTAAAGACAAACATTTATATCGTTACATCACATGGCTTCAGGAACCACTTGCCAATATAAGGGCAGACAGTATTAAATCTGGCCATAGGAATAATGCTTAAATGCACTAAAAGATTGAAGTCCTCATACTTTCCCATACTTCAATCTCAAATATTCTTCTGCACCAGGTAGCCACAAGGGCCTGATTCCCAAATATAGAAAGGAAACGGGGCGACTCGGTCAAATTCCCGCCACAGCTGATGATAGTAAACAAACCTCAACTTTGGCCTACTTTATCCGCACATATAGGCCAGACAAGACTTAACCTTCACATAAGACTTCACATCTCTCATTACGCCCACTAAACTGGTGAAATAAAGAAAACTTGACCAAAGTAGGAAAGTTCCAAAAATCTCCAAAATGGACCAAAACTTTCAAGAGAAAAAAGGATTTTCAAATGTATTAACTAGGCACTACAATCGCCTCTACTGCGTATCTGCCCAAATTATACATGCGACATTCAATGACGCTGTAATCCAAAGTCCAACCTCTAACAACTAGACATAATAATCTGTGTAATATTCAACATCAGTTGCTTGCTGACGTTAAAAGTCTTTGTCTACTTGCCAACTTTGTAAGGAAGTTTCTTGTCCTGAGCCATGATGCGCCTCCCACTGAATCAGCGATCTTCTTTAGGTCAAAGGTTATGGCCTTGCTTCACCTGTCCGGTGGGTTATGCAACAGCGCCCTCTAGCTTATTTGGTATGAACTGAATAACAGGTATATGTCCGTGTGGATAGTGTTCAGCACCAAGGACAGGTCTGTGTCTGTAGATAGTGTTCAGCACCAAGGACAGATCTATGTGTGTGTGTGCGTGTTTGTGTGTGGATAGTGTTCAGCACCAAGGACAGGTCTGTGTCCATAGATAGTGTTTAGCACCAAGGACAGATCTACGTGTGTGTGTGTGTATGCGTTTGTTTAGATAGTGTTCAGTACCAAGGACAGGTCTGTTGCCCTCTTTGAGTTGTGCCCAGTCCCAGGGGTGTTTATATACTGTAGATGAAATGTCCGAGCAGATAACTTTGCTATTGCTCCTTTGCTATTTTTTCAGCAGTTCCAACAAGTACAGCTACTATGATGCTGATGGCATTTTTAACTAAGATAGGCCTTCACTGTTTCAAATGTAGAGCTTTGTCTGCAAATAAAAAAACTTCCAGTGCTTGGTATTACTTTCTTTAATAGATAATTGACAGGACATTGGTTTACTATGATGAACAACATGAACATTATGTGCACTAAGTATAGTTTACATCTTGTACTCACATCATAACTTAAGCCTGCAGATTGTACAACCATCAGATGTTATCAAAGATACTCTCTTTTAGTGTAAAGTTGCAACCAAACAGTTGTCCAAGAGCAACATGTTGTAACACAGCCACTGTTACTATGCAATAATACTGTGTCCTTACACTGAGAAAATTAGTGTCTGAAATAAGGCCACACCAAGTAAATTTTATGGATGACGTCCGCGCGCGCATTGATTTTGGCCTGTTCCTAGAAAAATAAACAAGAAATTCCGCTTCCTGTAACTATGACCAAAGAGTCACAACAGTGCTACAAATTGTCAGATTGACGTGAAACCCGTAACGCGAAAACAGGACAGGACGATAACTGCTATTCCATCTGATTTATTGCTGTTTTGATGATGAATAAAAGACTTCTTGCTTGTTACACTGTGTCACCTCATTCAATTTGTGTCCTAACATTTGTCGTCTCTTAGTATATTTCTAATCTAGGCATCTTGTTTTTTAGGGCCCTTCTTGTTTTTTTTTCGCCCTCTCGCATTAGATTTAGGGTCTCCAAAGGACGTCATCCATAAAATTTACTTGGTGTGGCCTAAGCCTGAATATCAGGACTTGTGGAACACCTTCTGGAGTTGTGTAGTACTGCAGCTGCCACTTTTCCTAATGTTTAGATATCAAATTATCAATCAATCAATCAATCAGTCATCATTTGTCTGCTACTTACATATGTAGTTGGAGTTGACTATCGCTTCTGTCTGTATCTGCTCTCCTAAAGCTCTGAACAACTTGGGCATTTCCATACAACAATGTCAATCCACACTGCAATAAGCACAACACAAACACAAGGCACAGACTTGTTCACCATTTCACTCTAAACCACCTCAAGGACTATCTGATTTTAAAATGATTCGGTTCCTTATTTACACAATTTGTTTATACCAGATTTTGAAACGTTAATAGTTCATTTGTTGGAGACAGCACACAATAAAAGCACTGTACAAACAAAGTTTTAACATAACAATGTCTTACATATAATTATTCCCTGTAATGAATGGTAAAAACAAGCACTGACTTGAACCAATCCACAAAAACTTTTTGCTTCAATCATTCAGAAACAAATTAACACTTCACTCCTACATCTTGTTATGCATTTTCAAAAACACTCAACAGGGTGTACCTTACATACTTGTACATTCAAAGCCATGGTTCATTAATTCCTAAAAACAGGGTACATGTAGCGTCACACATAACTGTTTCACAGTCAGTATACGTATTCATTAACATTGTTCCTTTTTTTGTCGCAACATATTTACACCTTCATGTATTCACACTTACAAACCTAGAATGGTCTACCTTTTAGTCTTAAATATTCTATCGACTTAACTAATCTGGTATCATTATTCAACATATTGTCACAATTCATCACTAGCTCTACATGTATCTTACTGTGATTGGCTCAACATGTCAAGAAAATTCTACATCAAGTTTAGTTTCAGTAAATCTAATTATTAGTGCAGAAGAAACCGTGCAATCAGAACATCACATAATAAATAGTTTACAATCTAATGGGAATCTCAGAGTATCTTCACTCTAATTATACTAAGGCATTTAGAACCCTCTGTCATAGGCCAGGCTAGTACAGGTTTCATACCACAAAATACTTTACATTTAAAAGGCACAGAATTCTCACCTACTATTACACCCTTCTTTTTATAAAAATTAAAAACATTGAGGTCCCAAGGCACAAGTATGACTTTACGGCAGCCATATTATCATTTCCATAAAACCTTTAAAGTTCAATTCTAAAAGGGTTCTACCACATTAAAATGCTGCACCATGGCACAAATAGACATACATTGTAGAAATAGATACAAAATATCCATCTATTTTTGTTCTCCTCAGTGTACATTAAAGTGCCTTGAAATTCCCTGTAGGCTGTATTCTAAAATTTGGGGCAAACTCTTTAAAAGTTGAGTACGTTTTTGTGAGTGGCTACGGGCAGAATTTTGACATAGTGAAGATTGACATCAATCAAATGAAAATGGGAAGAGCAAAGATAGCTGACTCCCCTCCATCACTCATATGATGGAATAGTCCAGCATATCACAAACTGGTGACGGTAGAGTCCACTACCATGATGGTGGGTTTGGGGGGGATGTGGGGCTGACTCAGCACCTTGCCGCCCCTCTTCCCTCTGTGGTGCTGCTGGAGGTACGGTCCCCAGTCCGTAGGGGGTCTGATGATGGTACGACCTTTGACCTGTAATAAATGATAAGAGATGGGTCAATCCTTACGAAAAATAAGGCAATTTTTAAGGTGGCAAAACTGGATTTTCAAAGTCTGAATTTTCTGGTCATTCTTTTAAGGTAATAAGCAAAACAATCCTATCTCATAGCATACTGATATCTGTGATGCAAAAATGTGATTTCACTGTAGTGGTAGTACATGTAGTAGTGATTTGTTTATTGTTTAAACACTGTAGACTAGCCTTACAGCTGAACTGTGCCCAGCTTTAAAAAATTTGACTACAGTAAAAACAACATAATTATTATAACAATATGTAAATTATTATAACAATATGTGCAAGTAACATTGAACAGTGTTGCCATATTTACTAGTTAATGAGACGGTTGACACAAAAAAAGACAGAAAATGGTTGTTTGTATTGTATCGAAGGCTGGATCACAATCATGTACTTACACAACATGCCAGACAGCAGTTGATGATGGTAACAATAGGGATGGGTGCCAGCTCTACCCCGACAATGAGCCAGCCCATTATAACATGTCCCTCTGAGTACTTGTAGCTCTCAAAATACAGCTCGTTGGGCCACAATAGAGATGTCCACACAAGGGATCCCTGTTAGAACAAGGCAGGCAATAAAAATCATTACCACGGCAACAAATGAATGATTATTATTGTGTGGTAGAGCCAGAAATTTCTTATGCTTCTCAGAAAAACAGATGCTCACTACGTGCGTGTGGTGAAATATACAGGATTGGTGGAGGAGTCACAGTACAATCAGTGTTGTGCATCATGCTTAACTTGACCTATATTATGCTTGCATATATGTTAATATTCCAGTCTACAGTAAACACTCTACAGTCAGGCAAATATTAATAAATATAAACAGTTTGAAGGTACCAAAAGTCTTGTAGTAAACTGTCACCATCTTAGCCAAGTAAGTAGTGAAGTAAAGTACTACATGTATTTTGTAAACAGTAAAACAGATCTGATCTTGATGCTAAACGAAATAACCCATCTCTAACTTGATGGGGAAAGCCTGTGCAGTATTGACATGACATTGAGACTCACCACGAGGTACAGCGGGACAGGCAGACACCAGCACACCTGGCACACTACTGTCACTAACTTGTTACAGCAGTAACAGCACGAGTACTGCAGCATGTGGCTCAGGTCACGACCCCAACGGTTGATCGCTGATCATGGAAAACACAGTATTTATGTGGTAACTGGTGTTGGGTTACATTGTACATAATGTTGCAGTTTTATAGCAGGAGGGATTTAGACTCCTGTCAGCATATATGTGAATGTGTTTGAGTAAGAATTTACAGAGCAGATCATATGCGAGGGTAAACATTATGCATTATCCATTATACATAATTACACATACATGTACATTGTAACTGTTTTCACCATTATACATAATTTGTACTTACTGTAGAACCAGGAGATGCCAATACTCTTCAGGAGGAGGATGGGCAGGAGGACAAACCCAGAGCACACAAAATTATCCAGCAAGTTGTACAGGTACAGACCACCCTGCAGAACAGAAGAAATATGGATTAAAATTATATCTATGGGGCACTGATACGACAATTGCATTTAAAACACAGTTTGACCAATGTGATATATGGCTGTAATAAAAGGGCTAGCTAATGACTTAATGACTTGACACTGATATAACCCTCAAAGTAACAAGTGTCAACTGACATTTCCTGACACAAAACATAAGGCATGAAACGCAATATCTGGGCTGTATATATTAGGTTGAAGAGGGAGGGGGTAATACTTGCAAGTTGCTCACTATGTTCACCTCTAAGAGATGACTGTTGGTCCGCATAACGTAAGTTACACCTGGGTGAAACCCTTTTGTGTATTGTACATAGCACTTTGGCAGAACGTCTCATATAAGGTCATATTTTCGCATGATTAATATCCCGTCTGTAGTTTCGAAATATTGTGTCAGAAAAGATATCCTCTGCAACAGGCAAAATTCTGATGCAATATTGACCAAATATCCAACGAAAACTGTGAAAAACCAGGGTTTCAAAACTTTCCTGAAGCATGCTCAGTGACCCGCAGGTTACTGACCTGTGTGACCAGAGGCAGGCCCAGCAGGAAGAAGAGGATACAGCTGGTGAAGGTGAGCAGGAGATGGAGCAGCATGCGCCGGTTACACAGCCCGCCTGTGCCGTTGTTACCCGCTGGAAACAGGTCCAGTAAGGACGTCACGATGGTCTCCACGATTACAAACTGTAGGATGAGAGAGACAAAGCTTGTCCTTATGCTAAATAATGCCTGAAATTCAGGCAGATAAGATCGTAACATATTGTCTACTTAGCAGCAGGGATGTCAGAAATGTAAAGAATACTGGCAGTGAGCGTTGAGGAAAGGGTGTTGCCTTTTTTAAAAGGCGCAATCACATTCGTCATAGATCGTCATACAATTTTGCTGTCAGGCCGTGACAAAACCAACCAGTGAAAGTGATCTACGACAGAATTTTCTGTAACAAGATGGCAGGGTTTTGTAGGACACAAGCACGGCCATCCCAATGGAAGAAAGCGTTCGGTTTGCAGACGATAGTACGACGTCCGTGACCGTCCCCTGATTCCCAGCTCCATATGAGGTGACATTACCTGGCAGCTGAAGGCGAGAAGCAGCAGAGTCAGGTAGAACAGGATGGACCACAGGTAGGAGGCAGGCAGCAGCCCCAGTACACGGGGGAACACAACAAACACCAGGTGGGGACCTGCAAGATAGCCAGGAGGTGAAGCAAAGCAGTGTTCTAACCAGCATCTTTTCTGTCATTTGACAAAATTTTGCTACTCATAATTTTGCTACTCATTGTAGAATTTTGCCGTCTATGATGGAAAACTTTTGCATGTGAAGAGAAGAAATTCAACTTTACCACTCAAAATGCAGGAAATTGTGTTTCAGAGCTAGGGTCAAGATTTCAAAATTTCCTGGGGGAGCATGGATTGCATGCCACATTTGGCACTCAACATGACAGAAAAAAAATTCAGGCTGGCTAGAACACTGAAGCAAAGACTAGAGAGGATGGAAGAAGTCTGTGTACATATTTTTGTCTTCACAAACTGATCAATGCTGTGAAAAGTAGAAGGCCAGAGGATTTTTTCAACCCCATGCATCTATGCTGTAAGTACCTCCATTTACCATTTCTGAACCTGAGAAATGCCACAAGACTAGAGTGACTCAATTTTGCCCCAAACCCAATTACCGGTAAGTACTTGTGCTTTCAAAACACCAGCTGTGAAGGATTAACAAGTGATTTCTTATCAACCCTTGAAGCTTCTTGAATTTTTTTCTGGGAAGAGAATAGAGATTTGAGAAGAGATTTGGGTTTCAAGAAATTTTACATATGAAAATTAAGGCAAAACAGAAGTCCAATGTTACCTGACGACACTAGAGATTCTATGGGCTCATTTAACTGTTTGGAGAGGAATCCCAAGAAGCCTGCAGACATGCACAGGCACAGGATACCCACCAACACGTTGGCTAACACAACCAGCACGGCATCTCTGGACAGGAAAAAAAAGCATCACATGTTTTTTGAGGGCTTTAACAGGGCACAATTCTTTACATAGCTTTAACAAGGCACAAGTCCATTGCCAATTGACCATTCAGTTTCAGAACAGTGGCCACAGATTTTGGGTACATACAATGTCATACACATACAAGGCCAGTGTACAAAATACTTTTTTGAACCAGGTTGCCCAGTGGGCAACCTACTGCAAAAATTAGGTTGCCCATCAGAATTTTACGTTGCCCCACATATAAGTTACTACACGCTCTAACTGAGTGAGCTAAAAGGTCTAGACCCCTTGGCTGGGTCAGTTGGTAGCGCCTATAAACCCCCAACTGTTACACTTTCCTCAAACTAAGTAATGTTACATACATAAGCCTTTGACAATATTTCTAACAGCCTTTAGTTAACTGATACTAGTAATAGCCATTAATACCTAAAATCAAAAAGCATCTGCCAGATACAGTGGTGCAAGCCAAGTGGGCATGATTTGGGGGGGGGGCATTCTTAAAATTCAGGTAGCACACTGGGCTACCTAGGTTCAAAAATAGGTTGCCTCAAGTGAAATTTGGTTGCCCGGGGCAACCGAGCAACCAGGTATTTTGCACGCTGAAGACTAGAATAGTAAAACATGGTGTCCTTTCTGACCTTACTGTGTTGTTGTGGAATCTGTTGTAGGAGCTGAGCATGGTGTAACTACCACACCCCACACCCAGGGAGTAGATCACCTGCATCACAGCATCCACCCACAGGTCTGTGTTCTGGGGGGAAAGGGAAGGCGGTGGTCACTCTCAGAACTCAAAATTTGGCATGGAAGGATTGATTAACAATACTTCATCTTCCACACCTTTCAATAAAGAAATCAAACCCAAAAAGTTTACATAATGTATTTCTGTAGCAATTTATAGAATACTGCGTAGTCACTTGTTCCACTTGTGTCACCATTGCACTGTCTGTATGTTGTACACATTGTGTCATGTTGCAAATAATCTTAAATTTTAAATTGGAATTGCTTAACACTGTTCTGGAAAAAAAATGAAGTAAGCATTCAAGACATACAGGATATATACAACTGAGTGTGCCTTAAACAGTCATGCATGTTATCCAGCCAACAGATGGTTTGTAGTCATAAGATATGTATATATAGGCCCCTTGTCCTCATAGGATTGCATTCACACTTACATTGAAGCCTGCATATGGTAATGGAGTGACATGATATATCAGTCCTTCCACCGCTCCGTCCAATGACATGGCTCGAAACAACAGGAACACCAGAAGCACGAAGGGGATGGTTGTCGTCAGGTACGCAACCTAGATGGTGTTTAAAAATTACTGTTTTCTTCACGGTGTTGAGTATGCCATCCTTTCTACAAAGTTGCAACATTTGGAGTACATTTCATGACTTATGTCCTGGGTAATGAAAGTACAATGCAGCAGCAGCATCTGTCCATTGCTGTGCAGGCCACTGCAAGTTTCCTCCATTTAATTTCCCCCTATTGCTAGCAAGGTCAGAGATCTGTTTCACTGAGAGTTGGCATATGTAGAAAAGAAATTTTAATTATCTTCCTAATTTTCTCTCCAGCATCAATATATCATAAATAATGCAATATGCAACATTGTCAAATATTCAAACAGCGTATACAGTAAACTAGCGACTTTCTGGACACAACTAAATAAAGCTTTGTTCCACACACCTTCCCGGCAGACTTGATACCGAAAGCGAGCACCAGGAACACCATGAGCCATGACAGGAAGAGAAACCCTGCCAGACCTGGCTGGACTGCACCCATGTTCTCCAGACCGTCTGATATCTGCAGCAAATAATTCCTGGGGAGGGGGGAGGCAAAATGGGAAGAGGTGAGTCAGTGAACCAGAGCTCGAAATTCAATTTTGGGAAAAGCTGCACTGGTGCACCCAACGTAGAAAATTAGGTGCACAAACAATTTTTGGGTGCACCATATAAAACAAAACCTAATAACTAGTATCGATCTTACTGCACCTCTTCTAAGCTTGAATCTGAAATGGGAGCTAACTTCAAATTCTTACACTACAGCAAAGAATTTTAAATTATTTTTCTGACCCTTAGATGCTAAGAATATCCTGTATACTATTATACATTTAATACCTACAAGAATATTTGGGTGTACTGGTGCACCCACAGAAAAAAATTGGGTGCACAGCTCCAATTTTGGGTGCACTAATAATAATAAGGTGCACATACAACCAGTATTTCGAGCCCTGGTGAACTGAGTGTTGCTTTGTCTCTTTCATGCACAGTTACTGTAATTTTTTCTCTTACTAATTAACACTTGCTCATAAGTACAGGTGTGATGCCTGAAGTCAGTCTGTCAATTTGAAATGAAAATTGAACAGTCAACGTTTAAATAAAAATTGAACCGTAAAAACAAGCTTGACAAAAACATTCTTTGGACAGACTCAACTTATGAATACACAGTAAGATAAGACAAGGTAAGATACTAATTTCATATTCCTAGCCTGAAGGGCTAAGTGCAAAGAAGACAAAATGTGGTCTAAAGAACTGGGTAACCGAAGCTAGACTTCACTAAAATAAAAAAAAAAGCATCCGTGTATAGTTTCATCAGGTTGGTAAGACACTGAGTAAAGAGACTCTTTTTACACAATCAAGTCTTTTATTCAGCCGACGTTTCGGTGACTGTCTGTCACCTTCCTCAGGGCAATTCTGACTGGTTCACATTGCATTGCAGCACAGGTGTCGCTGCTACAGATGCATTCCCAAATATACATGTACAATATTGTCATATCTACACATTGGATTACAGGGAAATGTATCAAACAGTATAATTAAAAAGAAAGCATTTTTAAAACACTATAATGAACAATGAAGGAGATCTTTACCTCCAGTACTCTTCGGGAGCAGACTTTGTCGGACACTGTGTGTAGTTTTGCCAGAACCCTGCGCTGTCATCGTACCACATGAAGCCAGCCACTTCCTGACAGCGGGTCTTGTTGGTGAGACCATAGTCTGCAAAATACACGCAGTCAACAAATCAAGATGTCTTCACAAAGAATGACCAACAGCAGGAAGGTCTTACAGTGGTCACTGAATGATGACCTTTCTATCAAAGTCCATGCAAAGATTATTTGATCATATAATAAGCTTGCAGGAGTTGTCAGCATTATCCGTCAAACATGTTCTAGCCAGCCTGAAATTTTTGTTTGTCTTCACAAATTTCGTTTGAATCATGTAATATGATGTCAAGTGCCAAACGCAACAACCCTAGCTCGGAGGGTGGTGCATACTTTCCCTGGAAATTTTGAAATCTTAACCCTCTGAAATGCTATTTCCTGGATTTTTGAGCGGCAAATTTTACTGGTAGACTAGGCTTACTGGTCACAAATGGAGTTTTTTTCTGTCGAAGATGATGGATTGGGCAAAATTTCTGTGCGTCATGTGAAGCTAAGTTCTGTCAAATGAAGGAAAGACAGACAGATAGGTCAGGTCTATACGCATTTAAATACAAAATGCAATAGTTAAACTCACCATTGCACTCCATAGTATTCCAGTAGTTGTCACAGCGCACCATGTAAGGAAGGTCGCGCAGACTGCCCACAAACAAGTAGTGTAGGATGTACGCCATGCTGATGTTGTAGTATATCGCTAGGATGGACATCATCACAACAACTGCAAACCCAATGCCTGTAAAGTGTAAATGGCAGAAGACAACAGACTCAGGTCTCATGCCATGATTAAATCAAGTCAAATCAAAGTTCCTTCCAGCATCCATCTCCGTTCTGTGGCCCTTGGGCCGCACAGTTGTGCAATGACTATAGCAGAGGGCTAGTCCACTGGTAGTGTGTTTAACTCCCATACTCTTTTCCAAATGCTGAGTCTAAGTAGAGAATGCAGTATGTTCCATTTTTAAAGTCTTTGGTATGACTTGGCCGGGGATCGAATTCATGACCTACCGAATGCAAGGCAAACACTCTTGTTTGGATACACAACAAAAAACATTTTCAAACAGTAGCACATAAGGTTAATTCCACCTTGAGTTATTTTATCTGGTCTACCATCAGTCAGGTTGAATATAAAATACTGTAGTTACAATAACAAGTGCAAGACAGAATTATTATTGTAATTTACTTTATGTTCACGGTACTGAAATTTAACGGACTGAGAAAAATGGAGGTGTTCATGGAACTATATGTTCACAGTGGCGGAGATAGAGGGCGAAAGAGGTTCACAGACCGTGAAGACTGTTAACATAAAAGTACAATGAAAAAGGTATTACAGTATAGCTTTTTTGTCACACAGTACATAGTAAGACTAAGAAGTTAGTGTACCGTGTAAGAGTGGAACCCCCCTCCACGCCCGGGGGGGTCCCTGGCTGGTGAACTGTCCCAGCGTCATCTCCAACAGAACCAGGGGGAAACCCAAGGTGAAGTGCATACCCAGCCACACAGCAAGAAACCCTCCTGAAAAATAATCAAGACATGTCACCACATATACTACTTCCTCGCCTACAGAGGAAGAAACACACAGCGTGGAGTCTTGTAAACTTCCTAGCTATGTGATGTATGTCCACTATTGGATCTACACATCCAAGGCAAACATTCCTTCTTGTAGCAATACATACCTTACTGTTAGGTCTTTATCACTATGATAATTCCACAAGTTGCATGCATGCATGAATTCTCAATATTTTTTTCTTTGCAGGTAGGAGTCTGAAACTGACTCGTAGTTCCCCTGGAAATTTTTTAGTGCAAGTCATGAACATCTAAATGGCATCATGCAACTATATGCCGTCTTCATACAATGTATGTACTCTTATATACTGTAAATCACTTTATGTTAGTGGTAGCAAAAGTTTGTAGTCTGAAAAAAATGGACATCTTCGCGGAACCATACATTCGTGTTGGTGGCAGGTGCAGCAAAAAGAAAGTTCGCTAATTATTTGTTCACAGTATTGATGAGTGCAGAACTGACCGCGAAATTTGCGAATATTACCTTAAAAAATTGTGATTTACAGTACAATATCAGAAGTGTTTATTTTTTCTGATGGCGTATATGCTACAAACATGTGGTATGCTTTGGCAACAATCAGAAGTGCATCTGACCTCCATGCCTGAAGCACAGCATGGGAAACCTCCACAGCTGTCCCAGTCCAGCCGCCCAGCCGATGGACGTCAGGATCATCTCACACTGGCACGTCCAGTTCCCGCGCTCCTTGTTCTCCTCCCCGCAGCCGCAGCACGTGGCGGACGGCTCCTCTATCGCCTCCTCCATGATGAAGATCGGGCGCGTGGACTCGGTGATGTCGGATGAGTCGGGATTCTCGTCGGCGGGCTCCATCTTTCCGTTGTGCACTGACGCATCCGAGGCCTGGAGGGGAAGGAAGCGATATCAAGTGTTAGAAGTCGCAGAGAAGAAAACATCTTTGTAGGTGGCAGGAGACTAATTTCATCAAACAAGGATCTTGCAAAAACATCATGAGTCACAGAGATACTGTAAATCTCGATTTTTTTCGCGGTACTTTTATATTCACGGTTTTCATGGTCACTTGTGTACCCCTAACTTATCATTACCGTGACAAATAATTCGTCAACTTCCTTTTACCTGCACCTGCTACATGTGTACCACCGCAAATCTATAGTTCGGTGAAAATGTTCACCTCAGACTGCAAACTTTTATAACCATGCACACAAAGTGATTTACAGTATTTTAACCTCAGGGCACAAAGCATGCCAGCAACTGCCTACACAGTACCACAGCCATAACAAGGCTTGATCACAGAAAGGTTTTGCCAAAGACAAAATGGTTTCCCCTTGGCTATCTTGGTTTGCCAAGCTGACTGACATTTAGGTCATGTTATCTGCCATGACAGGCACAGTAGGAAGCTTTGGATGGGAAACTACATCAGTGCCTGACCTCTGCATAAAGCTGATAGGACTCAAGTAGTTGTTCTGCCACCATAGTCCCTGAGGATTATAGGACAATTGCCAATGGAACTAAAGTAATAAAGCACAACAAAGTTCAGGTTAGGAGACTAATAAAGCATTGCTTCATACATGAACAAAAGTGTAATTGGCAGTGATAAAATCATCTCCGTACAATTGTAAGTGTACTGTTCAACTGATGAAAAGTACCGGGTAATAAACTTTATTGCACAAAAATTGTGTGGCATCTACCTTTTTGCCAGTGTAACACACCAGCTCTACACATGCAGGTGGTTTGCCTCCTCAACACTATGCATACTGCATATGAGATCCTATTTGTTGGCTTTGTGTAACTTTGAAAGGGACAATAAAAAGCTCTGAAAGAAGGACCTGCTCTACCGTGTGTGTAATTTGTTTGAGATAAATTGGCCGTGAAATCCATGGTGATTTTCTGGTCATTCCCTGTGGTCCAGGCAGCAGCTAGACCACAGCCTGACCACATAACAGTGACAGGTATGGTGTTAGTCAACAGTACAGTACTTGACCCATGGCTTCTTGTTACCACACTGCTGCTTCCTACAACTGTCAACTTGTTATTGTCAAAACTTTCAAATTCCTGGTACAGGCAGCAGACTTCAGTGTCAAAGAAATAAATGGTGCCAAAGTTATGCACTTCAATCGATGTTTGTCATCTTTTCTATATTGTACCACGTACATATGAAACAAATGATACCAATAGTTCCTGCAAGTTGTGGTATCTGTCTTACCACAGTCATTACACAAGAAAACAGCTACTCAAGCAATTGGATAGATTTTGAAAACAGTCACTGACAAAAAGTCGTGGACGCTACATTGTACCCCTGGTAGTTTTCAAAATCTATCTAGCTGCTAGAATTGAGTAAGTTTTCTTGCGTGTGTCTAACTCTCATCTATGTACCGTCGTCATTCCTACTCCAAACTATTACTGGACAGTCCCTACAAGTAGTGAAATTGGAATCAGTTGTATCCTGCTGCCAGGGGTCACTTGGGGTCACTGGGGGGCTGATAGAATTCCCAAAAGTCCCTTTGTCACTGAGATAGCCATGGGAGATATGCACCCATTTATAGATATCCAATGTTCCTGGTATCTGCTTCTTCTTTGTCTATATTTACTTTATCTAGGATTTACAAGTTTGGACACAACTTTGGCAGGCATGCAGAACCCAATAAGTTGGTGTTGGCCAAACCCAATTTTACGAAAGTATATATAAGACCAAGACTTTTAATAGTTACTGTGAATGTTGCTACAACCCGAGTGGTGTTTATCATAATTTGTGTTGCGAAACTACAAAGAATATAACATTTCGTGATGTCAAAATCTCCTTACTATTGCGATGTTTGGGACCATTGTTTTCCACTGAATTAAAGCGTAGAGCTGGAAAACTATAGTAGGCATACAATATGTCCTTCAGGAACTCTACTAATGACCACAGCATGACACTAGATAGAGGGAGGCTGGCAGGTGGAGAATTTCTGGGCAGGTGGAGAATTTTGCCCAGCTTCATTTTTCCCCAGCTTACCTACTGTCACTGAATTACTGCATTTATAGTACCCACTGTACCACCATCTACAAATTAGTTTCAGATCATTTGGTTTAAAGTAAATACAAAACGTACTTACCACAGTGACTAGCATATAATATATCCCATGAAATACGTTTTCCTTCTTGTTTACAATGGATTTCTTTCTCTCATCCCGGACAAGCAAACCAACCTTATTTAGCCGCAGCATTGATAGAGACTGGTTTACATTGGGTATGTACTAAACACCACAGGAAGACATTATCCGATAAGAATAAGAATAGGGATAATCTGATTAGAACTGACAGCTGTTACAAGGATTAACTGGGATACTAAGGACCCGTTTCTCTCCTTTTGAACCATTATACATATGACATACATGTAGGAAAGGTTAAATGAGATATTACATGCAGCCATTCGACAGCAAAAAAACTATAGTCCGTAAGTGTGCCATTCCATGGTAACACCAGAATACACCATGGATATGATCTACAGGCTACTGCAAAAAAAGAGGACATCATGACATTTGCACAATAGCCCATTTACCAGTACAAGAGTGTAAATGTATTCTAAAATTTTGTAAAATGGTCAGATATTTTTACTTTGAACCTGAAACCTGACCTAGCTATTATCTATAGACATCCCCCCTCCAATTAAAGTTGAAATGACAAAAACCAAGGAGATTTAATTATATATAAGTTAACCTACTTGCAAAAGTCATAAAGAAGCACTACAAAAGTACAAGTACAACAAGCCTTATAGTTATACTAGACATGATGTCTGAGTCAAGGATATCTGGAATACATTACTTGGATTTTTTCCAATGCTTTTTAATTTAGCTTGGAACTGAATTCATAAGATATGTACAAGGCCAAAAGATATTGTGGTCATTATGTCAACAGCATCGAAAAGCTCTTATTCACTTCACAAGGGAATCTCTCTGTGCCTTTGAAATTTCATCTCGGACAGACCTACAAAGGAACGACTGTGCAAAGGGTTGTGGGACCCGTATCTTTGAAATAGATCAATTTGGTTCATCACAGCACCAGAAAATACTAGAATACGGGAAAGCCAATTTGTTCGTCCTTCAGATATTCAGCCCTGCCGCTCTGTTTCTAGGGACAAAGGAAGGCCACAGAAAGGCCGCTGCTTTTTGTCTGGTACAAAGCCACACTGTTCCCTCTGGGAAAAGGGGAATTCCCAAAGTAGGGATGATTTCACATTTCTAACTGTTTCTCCAAAAGAATATTTCATGTGGATTTTTTTGTCTTTTTGGTTTGATTTTGGCATTCTAGGACATTGGTATCGTTTTCCAATATTTTTTTTGCAACTTACGGTATATATTTACTCATTTTGCAACAGTTTTGTACGATTTACAGTATGGTTGAAAACTTTTCTTTGGAAACAGCCAAAAATTTATGCACGCGCGGATGTCAATCCATATAATCAAATCAACATGGCCTTTTCAAATATTAGACAATACAAAACCAATTTCATATTTCCTTATAAAAATATAAGGTTTCCAATTTTTTAGCTTGGATATCATTAACTTTACGCATCACTGACAAAAGAAATATCATCATGAACATAATCATAAACTTTTGTGACTTTCCCCACGCTCTTGTCAGCAGCCTGCATGTTTAACACTGCCCATTCATGCGTGAAGCTAGACTGCTGAATTTGGGAGGCATTCAACACAGCTAAATACATACAAGGGACCCCGAGCCCCACTGGGGCATGACCAGGGCATTTCATTTATAAGGGAGCTGCCTGGCTTGGTTCAAGTACAAGGAAACCATTGTTTGTTTCCTGGGGATCTCTGGAAGCCAGATCTGCTTTCCATCCTGCAAGAAATCTTTTAACAACTTCTCTCCACTGGAACAACAACAAAAAACTGTCGGCAACAGTAACTTTCAGCTTATGACATATCTGTTCTAACTTTGTATTGACATATTGCCATTTGAATTTCATTGGTATTGTGCTTTCCAGATGAGATGTCCAACCATGGATGGGTTTATCAGAAAGCCAAACCAGGGGTGTTCAATGTATGTGACTAATACTATTGGGGGAAAGTCTTATAATATGATAATAATATGCTGAATTCGAAGAAATATCCCACTTGTTCAAAAAGAAAAAAAAACAGCTTCTTTGTTATTTCCATCAGCTGTTCCTTTCAACCATACTTTTATCATGTTGGGATGATTTGTGCCAAGAAGGACATTCATTAAAATACAACACAGCAAAAGTAGCAACCTTGGCACTATGTGCCCTCAAGGTCAGGAATGTAAACTATATTAATTGAAACTTGATATGTCAACAATATATAGTTTCCTGCCAGAAGAATGTGTATATCAATTATCATTAAGATACAGCCCCATATACCAGGAAAAGTGCTTAAATCAATAGGACAAACAATCTGACTTAACTTAATAAATAAGTTAATTAACGACAATGAGTTAATGAACATAAAAGAATACGTTTGCAACTGAGGAAGTCTGTTGAACTTGGTCTGGCCTCAGAGTGCTAATCTTGTGTCTCGCTTCTTGCAAAACATCTTTTTTCAATCTTGTGGGTTAGTAAAGGTAGATCTGGGTCAAGTGAGCTGCAACTGGGGTAAACCTTCTTCCCTGGGTATAAACATGGCATTAACCAGGGGCTGACAGCAGCTAGGTTCTGGTGTAAACCTGGGCACAGAACAGGTTACAGAAACTGAGTAAAAACAACCTGTATCACACTACTCTTCAAGCAGAGGTTGGTTGGAATGATTGTGACCTTTCTAATACATGTATGTCCCTTTTTTTTCTGCACTACCTATGACCATGGAGATGTATTGTTATATGTATTAGAAAGATCACAACCTTCCCCACCAACCTCTGCTTGGAGAGTACCAGGCTATATAGTATCACACTTCAAATTGATATAGGAAGTTCTTACAATGAAATAAAATTAAAAGATGAAATGGATTCATTTTTTTATTATCAGTACTTGTAATGGGAAAACAAAGCAGCTGGTTAAACACTGGTGTATACGAGTGATCGCTGTTTTTGCATGCAAATATATGCATGCAAATTTTGAAGACATATGCAAATTATTGATAGGTAAATCAGCCAACTGTCACTCATTTTTTTGCCTACCACTCGCTGACAGCATGGTGATTACTCGTATTCTTGTACTACCTGAATTCAACATAGCCATTAGATACAATAGAATAGAATGCATGTTCAGTACTGTACTGCACTGAACAATATGGCAGCGAAACATCCCTAAAACTTCTTACTCACCCAAAACATTAAAAGCTTACAAGAAGGGCCCTCACTCTGTGTACATTTTGCGTGTGTGGCCTCCATAGGAAGCTATTCATTTGAATAAGATTTCGTTTCTATCTATGTTATTGTTAGCAGTTCCAAGAGTTTGCGGTGGGACCAAAATAAACAAGTGGCAGACATCCACCTTTTGTCTGCATTCCAGAGTGATTCCATACACTACATGGTGAGGAGTGACATAGAACTGAGGTAGAGATTGGTTGGGATCACACAGGAACCAAAAGTCTAAACAAAATGCTGCTCTGTAAGTATGAAGGAGTCATGTTGCCTTAAATAGCATAGATTGCAGGTCTGGGTAAAAAAAAGTAGTAGGATGTTCTATCTTGAAACTTCTAGACTGCTGCTCTTTATCAATAAAGTTTATATACATAGACACAGGGCTCTAGCCGGCAGGCCCGGCACCCATTTTTTCGTCAATTGCAGGAACTTTGCGGCGTGTGACGGAAAAATTTTTAAATCATGCCATCAACCTTGATGGACAAAATTGACAAAAATTGGGGAAGACATATAAAAACATTCAAAGGACCACCAACAACCACTCTCCACCCCATGATTTGCCTCAAATTTTGAGTCAAAATGTGGGAAATTGCATATTTAAAGGCTTGAAAATCCAAAGACCCCCCTAGCTTGCGAGCACTCTCCCCCCAGGTCCGATCATGAACCTGGGCTGGTGGAAAAAAAATTTGAGCTGGCTAGAGCAGTGTATAGACAGATGTTGCTTAGGCCACACCAATTTAATTTCTTGGTTAACGGATTTTTCTAGAAAAATAATGGAGCGGGCGGGCGAAAAAAAAAAAAATGAAAACAGGCCTAGGCATCCTATTATGGCCCAAAATGGTTCGATAGGAGCCATGAAGTCAACACACCAGGCTGGTTCAAAATTTAAACAATGAATTTTGAACTTTTAATGATACTACTGCATTGAAAAATGGAATGACTGTAACAAGTAGTAAGAAAAGGACTGTTTTCAACTGTTCAGGGCAAAATATGAGCATTTTGCAGTTGATTCTGAATTTTTATTTTTATTTGCAAATCAGAAAAAAATGAAGCGGCGAATCCGTTAACCAAGAAATTAAATTGGTGTGGCCTTATAGTGAGTTATACTGAATTAGCAATTGTGCTGATAGCTAACAGTTTCAACAGGTGGACACTTTCATCTACAATTGGTTCTAATACAAGCATTCACACCTGGTGTTATCTGCTGGAGATGATGACAAGAATGGGCCTGGGGAAATCAGGGGGATTGAGTCCATTATACTGATTGCCTCCAGTGGGTGAAACTTTTTACATTTCCACTGATCAAAGTCAAACTTAAGAAACATTGCAACGATCAAGTATTTTAGGTGCAATAATAACTAACACCCTTATGAAGGCACCCAATGAAATTTCAGGCTAGCAAAAATGAGTTTCAAAGTCAATTTTTCTGGTCATTATCTAGAAAAGTTCTTCTTCTTCTTCTCTATAATGCCCAACATCACGTTAGTGATGACACTGGCATGTCGTAGTGCTCTGCTGCCTTCGTCAGACATGTTCTGGCGAACCTGTTTATTTTCCAAGCCGTAATCCCATCTCATTAGTCCATAGTCCGTAGCCTGTTGAATCAACCCTTGGCTATCCCATACATGTAGCAAACCTTTGAGGCAAAATGCGATGTTGCTGACAAAAAAATGCAGACACTCCTAATGTAGCTTGTTTGGGGGCTACTTTATGTGCTAAGATCATAAGAAATGCCAAAAAATGTCAATATCAGACAGATTTCCTCATCCAGAAACTTTTCACTTTGATACCCTAAAATTGCATTGGGTGTCATAAATTGAAAAACACATGTGTACATATTTTAACATATCATCTCTCCCACATACTGTTCTTTTATTTTTGTGGGGACTTTGATAAGTTCACTGTCGAAACAATTCTGTAGCACAAAATACACTGGAAACTCATATTCATGGTGTCATGAATTTGCTGTGAAGCATTTGATTTTGAAGATCTACAGTAGTTGAGCATGTATTGACAGGTCTAATCTAATCTACTCTGACACTAAGGTTAAAAGTCTTGATCATTTGGACCAGTAGACGCATGGTTGAATATGCTGGGAATGTGACACGATATCTCTTTAATTTCTGTCTTAATTATTATATTACCAATCAGCTCTAGTGTCTTTATACCTTTACGTATGAATTTCCCTACAACTGCTACACATTTCGGTATCTGACTGTCGTTTTATTAAATTAAATTAATAGATTTTCAGAAGGCTGACATGTCATGGGAGTGTCCTCACTAAGGTCTATCTAGTGACAGACAGTAGAAAACAGGTGATGACACCACTTACATGTCTCTGTGAGCAGCAAGATAGATAAAAACCACATGGTAGCAACCAAAATAGAGATAACTTATCACATAACATGGGATTAGAAGAGATCCCTCTTCTATTCTTGAATGGGTTAATTAAGCCTATGTATGTGGTCAAATGCCTTTGCATATTGCATCCAGAACTGGTGAGAAATTCTCCGAGTTCCTATTGACAAAATCCACTATTTCCCCTGCCAAATATTGAAACAAAAATATGCCAATTTGGCATTTCTGTGAATCTGTTAATTTGTTATCGTAGGGACTGTTTTGTTAAACTTGGTTCACCCTTGGGAATCTCTCTTTTCAATTTATTTTGGAGCAAGCCTCTAATTTTCAAGACATTCCTCTCATTTTAGTTTTCCATTCCTCCACGAATCATTACAAACTTTCATGCATTTTCAAAATACCTAGTAGTACATATCATCCTTGCTGACCCTCAAAGACTGAACATGGCATATCCCCATATGTCTGCTGTATACACAGGGAAGGAAAACTTGGCAACCATGATTACATTTTAAAGATTTTCACAACTACACACGAAATACGTGTACTTCCTTTTCAAGTTATGTCAAGTTCAGTACGATATCTTTTCTGTACAAAGGTCTGCAGTAGATCCATCTGGGATGTTCTTATTTTACAGACGCTCTAAGTTTGAAGTCCAGGAAAAATGACAGCATAGCGTGTTAGTGGAAGAAAATGCGACTTGGTGTGTTCCTTTCAGCAAATATCTCAGGCTAGTTCCAAACCGTGGAAATGTCCCCGCCCCTCCTTTAACTGTTGACACAAGTAAAGGCTGGGATCACTCCATCAAATCAGGTCACGTTCAAAGTCGCCAGCAGGCCCCGTTACCACCCTTAGGGACCCAGCACATCAAGAGAGGGGCAAATTTTCCGGACATGCCTCTCTCAAGGCCGTGGCAGGCCCGTTCGGCGTGTAATTTGCCAACCTTTTGTTTTTCTGGTGTACGGAAACCAACTGTTGCTCTTTTCGTGCAGCGAGCAGCACGTTTCTGTGAAATAAGACAGCCGGGTAGTCTTAAATCTAAGAGAAACCAAATATGTCTACAAACTCGAGATCGCGTTGTTCAACAGCTTACCTGACCCAAATCTTTCCCGTTCTCGCCTTCGTGGTGCTCCTCCATCTCGATCGCCGAGGTCTCCATTTTGAGTTAGGAAATCGGCGACTTCTTCCTCCCGCTGTCCCTCACGCCTTTCTTCTGGAAGCCCCGCCGCTGTCCTGTGCCCCACTGCGAAGTTGTACACGGCGTGTACACGCTGAAAACGTTGCGTCAGTTCCAGGGTCAAAGTCAAGGCTTGGTGAGGCGTTGGAGACAGGAGCGTCCGTTATCTGTGGTTCACCGTGGCACACTCCCAGCACCAGAGGCCTTCCTTCCTCCAGCCGGAAACCGGGACAGCCAGCAAAGTGAGGCCAGATGGAAATAATATTTCGGTGGGGGCGGTTCAGTAACTGACCTCCATCGGAGGAGGCGGCGTGGTCCTCAGGCGCAGTACTTGTCCCATTACTTTCTTATACTTTCTGTTTGCCCCTTCGTTTCGTTCGTGGTTTCTTCGCTTCTTTTCATGTTTTTATAACTTTAGAATTTTACTTTTCTGTTCCATTCTGCCTGACCCTTTAAATTTCTTCCCTCTTCTGCCTCTGTCTTCATACATGTCAAACTCGTGAAAACAAATCCTTGCTTTTTTATACTCCCTACTCTCTTGTATCACATATCCGATAAAAAGTCACGAGTGATGATGAGCGTCAACAGCTCAAACTCGTCAAGGCACACACTTCAGCTGAAGATACCGACATTTTCCAGTATTTCATGATCATCTGTTGAGAAAACAGAAAACGGGGCAAAGAGACTTTATAAACATGGTCTTTCTTTCCCGGGATCGGATCCTTTGAACAACCTCCAATACATGTACCGGTTTGGAGGTTTAGCAGTATTCGGAGATAGTTGTTGTCGAAAAAAACGTTTATTAAACACCACTCTCCAAGCAGAGGTTTGCGATTTGTCTTATTTTTGGCGTTGTTTTTAGTTTTTTTNTTTTTTTTTATCGGGGTTTCTTTTTTGCACTAGCCAACCCTGTGCAACAAAAGAAGCCCCGATTTAAAAACAAAAAAGCCTAAACACACGTCAAAAATTAGCAGCCCAAACCCAAACCACAGCTTGGAGTAGGAAAACAGGACCGGCAAGGAGGTAACTAGTGACAGCTCTGCCCGAAGTACAAGACCCGTTTGTTCAAAGATAAAACAGAAAGTATTACTTCATTTCCAGTTCACTGGTCGTAACGGAGACAGCTTGATATCTATCTCCATCAGGCAGGGTGTGCCTAGTAGGCTGTGCCAAAGCTATGCCCTGCCCCGCCAAAATCGCGTCGTAGTACATGTTCCAGAGCAGAGTTATCAACCAAGGATTGAAGTGTTCAAGAATTCATTCTTTCCTAGAACTATCGCAGAGGGGCATTATCATTAGATAGCTTTAAACAATGTCTAGAGTTAGATGTTCAAGGGTTAGGTGTAACAAGTCGTTCGGTGTAATGTAGCCAGCTGCATGCCGCCGCGCCGCGTGCCTGCGAAGCTGGTGTGTTACACCGAAGGGCGGTTTACCAGCTATGCAGATACAGATATAGATACACGTGATCATCATGTACAACCAAATACAGCTGGAACGCCACTATCTGTATGAGGAAACTTTGAAAAGCACAATTTCATTTTTGACCCGCGAATGTGAATTTCGCTTAATTGGCATCGTTTCAAGATATATCCAAGGACAAAGCTTCTTGATATATCATAGATCAATCTCAGTAGTGAATACAGTACAGGCGATCCGAGTCAGCAGCAATCCCGCACTGGTAACATTTCCTTCAAATAAAGAATTTTTTTCAAAGTTGTATGAAGTTCTTGATCCTATGCGCCTAATCTAAGGTTTCCAGATGTAACAGGTCTTTTGTCTAAAAGTTCTTCTTCACTGAGGGTACCGTTAAAATATTCATTGAGATATTGTTTACGGCTTCAAAATAAGTTCGGCGCTCCGACTCCTCCCTAATGTCACTTATGATCTCCCCCTGAATTCTGCTCGCCCTTGTCCGGCACCTACGTTCCCATGACAACCGTGGAAAACCTCTGGAATCCACTTTTTGCGGCAGAATTCCGATGGAATCTGTTTGTGAAGGTGCGTATAAAAGGCGGAACATTGCATGACAATGGTCCGGGCGGCTGTGGGGGAGGTTTACCGACCGCTGAAAGGCCCAGGTGTGACCCCGCCACAGCACGCAGTTTGTATTCTGGTCGTGAACTTGGTCTTTTTCTTCTCGCTTCACGCATGCTAACGGCGTTCTCCGCAGACTGCATTTCTGTAGAACACAAATGTACAATAAAGGTCTTCATTCATTTACAGTGTACATGTGTGCTCTTGGTTTACGAGAGTATAATCACCCATATTTCCCGATGTTTTGACAGAAAATACAAACCTACTTACCTATACCACGTGAAGTTTACCTTATAGTATAAGTTATACTTTCATTGGTTCTTCATACTTAACTTGTGTCAAAATACCATGTGTCTGTGACTCTGTGTCCATGCCATTATCGTATTTTTGATTCACCCTACACCTGATACGGTGTTTTTTCTGATTAGGCCACATTGTGCGCTATTTCCTTTTACCTGACGTGGAAAACACTCGATGCGCACGCGGATAAAATGTCACGTCTTACTGATATCAAAATATGATGTTCACTCAAGTCTGTTCCAAACTGAAAGGAGTGGTCCGACTCTTCTTCTTCTTCCCTTTTCGCGCTAACCTCACTAGTTTGAGGGCTCCAGCACGGTGGGGGTAGGGGTTTTTGATGGGGTGGTCGCAAATGTATAATGAAAATGTATATGTAAATGTATATATATGTTGTGGTATATATGTTGTGGTCTGCAGCTCCTCAATGGGCAGGGGCGCCACTCCCTGTCCGCCACCCAAAGCAGGGTGACGGTGAGTACCCGTAACCGATGCATGTATATCAAACGACCACTGATTGGTCAATAAAATTTATGATATTGTATCGGAACAGTGGATTGGTACCTATCGTCATGAACGACTCGCCTCTCATTGGCTGTTACTGGTTCCCATGACGACGACTTTGTTTACCTCCCCGTCAGCTGAGGTCACATGCGTTCGAAAGTCCGTGGAGGAAAGATGGCGAACTTCACGCTCCCAAACTTGACCTTGAAAAACGAGCCGTTTACGCGAAATGAAGGTCTTCAGCACCTATTACTGGTGAGTTTAATACCGTGTGCTGATGACGGACGTTTTGTAAGGTGATTTTACCGGCACAGACATGTAAAAACTGCCTCAATACCCACGGATATTTAGGCCAAAACATCACGATCACATCATATAGTATATACAGAGAGAGTAACCTAAGTTTTACAAAATATCTGTGGTATTAAACGGACTTTGAATGATCGATGGCCAAATTGTTCAAGCAAAACATTGTCAACGACTAAATGTTTGGACTGTATACAAGCAAGAACGTCAGTATACCGATAGAGCAAGTCGCGACTCCCGATTTGACCAACTCAGTTGCTAAACAGAGGTGCAAGAAATAACATATCCACGATCATATATTGATCGCGTCAACAATGTCAGTGAAAAGCCAGAAATGCTGCTTTGTAGGTAGCGTTAACTAAAGCAAGCAACATTAGCTTTCTCGTGTTTCCTGGGAAGGTATCCAATGTTCTGAAAGTTTTATGGTGCCACCACCATGCATTTGTAGTAGTTGATTGATTGATTGATTCAGCTTTATTCATATTGGCATGACATGTTAAAAGTTCAAAAAATATGAATTGAGCCAATATTTGACAACGTTTAAAATACACAGAGTAGATCGAAAAAAACTATTAAAACACAGTTTCCTAGGTTGTGCTTTAAAAAATAGGGATAAACTGTACTGTACCATCATTCTTGTTCTTTCAGGTTGATGGACTACAGATCAACGAAGAAGACTCGCTCTATTTCTCAGATAGTGAGGACGAAGAGCTTTTCATGGAGAACACTGGCCTCAACAGCCACACAACTGTGACAGTCCCCCTGACACAAGAGTGGATGTCTGAGCTGGAATGTAATGTTGATGATGGTTTTGGCCCTTACTTCATCTTGGAGAAATTTCTAGCAAGTCTTCCAGAGTACAAGACTGAGGTAGCTGATGAACTGGACAGGGAACTGGATGTTGAAGGACTTGTTTTGCAATGTGACCCAGGTACAGGTCACAATCGGATGAGTTGCACCTACCAGTGTAGCGAGACAACCGGTGAAACAGTAGCTAAGCACATCAGTGATGCAGATATTCCTGAGATTGGCATCCCAAGTGAAGGGGTTCTGTTGGGCAATATTGAACAGAACACCACGGGTTTCCGCACCAAAGGTGCTGGCTTGTTGCCTTTCAACAAAGTTGACTTGGAGGGATTCATGGGTCAAGAGAAGCCAGTTTTGCGTGATGACCCTGGAACTGAAGCATGGCAGTGCTTGACAAGAAGTCAGGCTGGTTCAATATACTATTCAGAAGAGGAAGACTGGATGTCTGATGGGCTGGGACACTACATTGGTGGTCCTGACGGTGACAACATGGAGGAGAGACTGGCTCACCACATATCCAGTGCACCAAATGGCCAGCAGCCAGACCGCAATAGAGAGGGGGATCCTTCAGAAGTGCCCGACGAACAGTCAGACTGTAGTGCAGAGGAAGCATCCTATTGCTATCTGCTTGAAGTGACTCAACAGTACCCTTTGGACCTGTTTGAGGTGGACCAACAGTCAGGAAGTGGTACTGAGGAGGTGTTCTCTCTCCTGGATCCCTTTGAGGTAACTTTATTTGGCACCATTTTATACTGTCAAGAAAAGTTTGCTTAGTTGAATGCTGAAAGAAAAAAGGAAAAAAAAAGTTTTATTACAATTTACATATGGCAAAGTAGGTGAGAAAGATTAAGAGCACTACTTAGCTGTGGGCATGTTTTCGTCTGTTCTTTGGAAGAGATAGAGTATCCTTTTTTCAATGTAAAATATGCACTCTATTTTTGACTGCTGTGTATCATGCATGTATGCTTCCCTGCATCTATTTTCTGCAGTTTTTTGCAAAGTCACAAGAGGTCTCTATTAGCTACATCCAGGCCGTAGGTTTTACTGTATGTTCATCCTGCCTGTTACACAGGTTCCAATGGTGGCCAAGTGGCAAAACAGTAATCCTGAGCACAAAGCTGTGGTGGTGAAGAGGCTGTCGAGGTACGACCTTTTCTACGGTCCCACACACCGTGCACGTTCCCCAAGCTGCCCTCTGATTGGTGAACGTGGTGACAGCAGGGAACGCAGCCCCATATGCAGTGACACAAGTGAGGTGAGAATATAATGCTGATATAGATAACATGCAGTTGCAAATGAAGATATAGAAAAATGTATGTAGATGATATCGGGTGCATTTTTCTCCATTTGAATTGCTGCATTTCATACTTCTTTTCTAGTGAACTTGAAGATTAACATGTTTGCAGTTACGTATCTGAATAATGTATTGTATGTGAACAGGTGTGTGTACTGGAACACAATGCTTCGCAGTGCCACAAAGGAAAACACAATGGTGTAAGGGCCACCAGAAGAACAGCAATGCAGACTGTCACCTGGAAGACACATTGTAGCATCAGCAACCGTACACCATGCACTGTAAACCTGTTACTTGGCTGCCCCTTCTGGCTTCTTCTCATGGGTTTACCCAGTCTTGTCACAGCAATGATTGATGCCAGACAAAATCTGGGTAAGCTCTTGGAAAAAAGCCCACAGGGGCAGCCACACTGGCAACCTCTGATGGTGCAGAAAACAACTCTTTCATCAGCTAACATACAAGGTGGAAGACCTGTTCTCTGTAATGTCAGAGCTTGCATGGCAACTGGCATCCAGTTGTCGGGGATATACCAGTGGCTGCCCCCATTTCTGTGCACCTACCAGTGTGAGCCCTAATGGAATGTCCCTCTGATGTTTAGGACAACTTGGTGGGCATCACACTGGTTGGTGCACTGCCCCTTTGGAATAGGTGATGCACCTGTTCCCAAAGTGGGCTTGTTTCTTGTGCGGTGTTGGATATCGTGTATCTGTACATGTACACCTTATATATATATATTTTATAGAATTGTTAAGGCTCCTACTGAAAACTCTGAAATTCAAAAGCACTTTGGTATTTCCAACATTTTGAACTCAGTATAGCTCTGGGCAGTTTTATATCGTATACCTTACCTGTCAACATCAAAGTAAAAGTACAATGTCTCTTAAATTTACACTATACCAAATTACTGAGGACTGCAGCTTTCTCTTGTATGTATGTTTCCTGGACACATTTACTGGAGGAGCAGAACTGTGTTGATTGAAGATAAACATTTGAAAATCTGATTGTATAACATAATTTGAAGCCATGGAAGAAGATAAGTTTTTAAGGAATCATGAGTAGTCTGCTCTTAACCAAACCCTAATGTGAATGATTTTGGAGTCAAAGACTTTTTAGAGTGAGTCTGATACATTGTAGTTTATACATGTACAGTTTTTATTGTATTACACCATCATACAAGGTGCGACTTATGTACATACAAAATATTTTGTCCAGGATTATTTTACATATCAGAAACTAATAAAGAGGCCTATATCATTTACAAACAAAATGTTGACTATCACCTGTAGACAATGTTGTGTAAAATTGCACAGACGTAACTTTAAACTTCATTGTCATGCTCTGGAATGTAATAACTTACAGCTACATTTTGTTTTGTTGAACATATGCAAAGATCTCGCTTAGATATGCAAAAAAACAGAAAGTGAATGAAACACATCCAGATGAATTATATTTTTCATGGCAAAAGACAAAATGAGCATGTACACTGGCATCATCAGTTTATTTGCTCAAAATTGAGCAGAATAAAAAGGTTGTGTCATGTCAACTAATTTCATTGCAATACACGTACATGTGTACAATACATTAAAAGTATGTCTACTATGTGTTTCTTAAAGTTGTGCAAGTGTGGTTTATTCAGTGAGACTCCAAGTACTGTATTATCTCTTTACATTCCCCTGCCCCCTAATCTATCATACATACTAGTCCTGATTTATTTACACTTCCATCTTCTTGTTTTCAAAACATGCAGCTGGAACATTTTGAAGAAAATAAAGTCCCTTGCAGTCACCAAAGTCCTAGATACTCTTGTTGACCCAGCTGGCACAGTGGACCACCCTCTCCTTGGCATTATGATGGGAGGTGAACAAGGACTTGAACACTTCACTCCTGTTAGGATCGTTGTAAATACTCGACGCCTTCCCTTTGTGAGCACCGTTCGGTTTGGAGCCTACTCTGGATTTGTCCACTCGGGAAGACGATGCACCATTGGTCAGTTTGGTCAGCTTACTGGGGGGAGGTCCGTCTGCGGAACTGGACGATGCTCCGTTGGTCAGTTTGCTGGACGGTGGTCCATCTGGTGAGGAACTGCCACTGCTGGATGAGGCCTCTGCCGGTGCCTTGGATACAGTCTCTGGGGCAGCTCTCTTCTGTTTTTTGGCTTTCTTGTCGGCTTTGGCCTTCAGCCTACGCTGCTCCATGAGCTCCTTTGCCCTGGGAATGTCGTCATCAGCTGGGTTCAAGGTCACCACGTCCCCTGGACTGAGAAGGGAAAAAATAGGAAAATTAGAGGACTTACTGAAATGGAATGCAGTACATGGAAGAGTACAGCATACTTGAAAGTAGAAGAAAAGAACAATGACAGTTTCTTGCACAATTTTTACCAATTTCACTACTATACATAGTACTATACTTCTCTTTCCTGTCCAAATGCTCTTCTGTTATATCCCATTTTCGCCCTGCCAATACAGGGCGTTGCATCTTTTAACACTGAGGCATATAAAAAGCTACTACACTGTCTGCTACAGTTTTAGGAGTCAGGAATTTTGTAAGGGTACTGACATAAAACTACTAGTACTACTTGAAATGACCGCCTTGGGCCACCATTATGTTGGTACATACCCGAAGGCAGCCCCGCATTTGTGACAAGTCTTGCTCTGGACTTCCTTCAGTGCTCGTTCCGAGAACGCACAGCCACAGCCCCACAGGAAACAGAACTGGTACCGCCCGCTCATCTCCAGACCCACAACTGGGCAGATGTACTTTGCTGCCTGATGGTCGGCATATGCATCACCTGAAAAAAAAAGGAGATACATGTTCAGGCAAGATAGCAGCTGTTGTATTATAGTCTCTTATATTCACAATGTTTCTCTTTAATTTGAAACAAACTTGTTGGGCATAAGAGGTTGTTTGGTGTAATATAGCAAGCTGCTGCCGTGCTGTGGGAAGCTGTTAAACTCCACTGGCAGTGATACCGGCTATACAGATGCAGATACAGACAAGTCAAATAAAAACTCAGCTGCTGCGTGTAAGTTTAATGTGCTCTTGCACATGTAACTTAACCCTTGTCCTATATTGTGTACAAATCCTCTATACCGTTGTCTGCCTTGTTGTCCTTCCGTGCTGGGTTCTCTGTCAGCTGCAGCTCTTTCACATCCTTCAGCCCACGGATGTGCTGAATGTTGGGGTTTCCTGACTTGTCCAGCAGGGCTTCCAGAAGGGCCTCCTTGTTGTAGAGACGACCCATCTCGCAGGCCATGATGGGCGGTCGCAGCGGCTCCTGGCTGAGGGCACAGTGCTGCCATTTGGCCACCATGTCTGCATCCTTGTCTTTCTGTAATGTGGAGAGACTGGATGTTAGAAGGGAAGCAGAAGTGAAAGAAATACATGCCAATTATGTCTCAAGATTTGCCTTAAACAGATGTCAGATATAGTATGACAGATAAACATACTGACAGGTCAATATCATGCAATAACTCTGAAGGCAGACAGTTGAAAGTTATTGAACCAGACATTTTAGCGAGCAGCCCACTAGATGTGACTTTTCAGATGTGAGTTTCACGTTTCATCAAAGTAGATGAAGACTTTTCTAGGGGTGTGTCAGAAGCTAGAACCACTGCAAGACCCTAAACCTGACATACCACATAATATTTTTGTCGTGTGCTTATTGCGTGTGTAGGTTCATGATTATGGCTGCAAGGTTTTTGACGATTTTGCACTGCCTGTGCCAGCATATCAAAAAATTTTGCCAGTTTATTCAACTTGGCACAATCATGTTACACCACAAAAGGAAACTGACTGTCCCTAGAAACCAACTGGCACGAACAAAATGTATGGTTTGCCTCTTTTTGCCTTAGTTGCCCTTGTGTGACATAACTGTGTATTTTCCAACACATTCTGCGCCATCTCATCTGGGGGGAGGGGGGCAACTTCCTTTTCTGAGACGTTTCAAATCAACTTAGACGTCATTTAACTGAAAAACGAACCTGTTCTGGCTTTTTCTTCATCCTGACGAGCTCATCCCTCTTTGGGATTGTTCCTCCGTCACATCCCATGTTGTTTTTGGTTCAAATTCTCGAGGTAATTTAGAAGAAAACTGACTGGAATTTTCCAGACTTTCCTGTCCCAGCTTCTGGTGCAACTAGTCGGGTTGGTCATGTGACCAAAATCATACAGCACCGACTCAATTGATATCAGTACGCTGAATATCAGAATTAAACATTTTCCGAAAATAGAGACAAAATTGTCAGATTTTTTTGCAAAAGAATACTTGAACATTAGTGGACATATTTATGCAGACAGATACGATGATGTGATAAGAGCTTGTGGAGAATAATTCTAGAGTTATTTTCTACAAGCGGAAGTACCGCCATGTTTTCCGGGTGTGATCCGCCGTCGCCATTTTCGCCCTCGAAAATTTGTAACATTTGAAGAGATTGTCTGCATTTATGGGCGGATTCTACCAGGAAAACCTCAAAAACACCAACCGCCGCCGCGTTTGATCGTTACAAGGGGTTTCTTTCTGACGTTCTGGGGAGATTTTTTCCGACCAAGGTGAGTCTAGAACCGGTAGGATCAGTTTTACGGCGGCACCGATGAACCCGATCGTTCATATCTCCTGTCACAAGACAAAAAAATTTCATCCCATAAAATTTTTACAACGCTTTGAATTGATTCCCCGTCAGTATTGATTTCGCAAGTTTTTGTACCTCCTGTTTGGCTCCTTTCCTTTTTCTTTCTTTAGTCTCGATGACTTCTGCGTGATGATTTGAATTTGTTTGCTGTGACATAATTTCATCAGGTTTGGGCGGGCGGAAAATTTTGTGTAGTCAGGCCGTGTAACCTTTGAACCGTCGATGTGTCTAAATGGTCTGTGGGGAGGGGGGCGTAGTTTTTTTGTCTGCTTCATTCAGCAACGATTTATTGAATAACATAGTCTATAGAAACAGTTGCAACTAAATCACAGAAAGGGTGAGAATTCTTTGTGGAACTGCCAAAGAAACAAAATTATCCTGAAACAGTGCAAAATATTTTTGTTTTGGTGCGTGCAACCATACAAGCGATCGCTGTTTTTGTTTACATTATAATATTTATATGAATGCAAATTATTTGAAGACATGCAAATTATTGATAGGCAAATCAACAAACTATCACCGGCTTTTCATGTTGCATTTCATGCAAAAGAGGGTAGACAGGTGAAAATGATATAATTTTTATTTTAAAAATTGTAATGGTAATACATGTAGTAGTCTTTTTTACTATTTGATAGGTCTTATTCATTTGTTTATTTATTTTCTTAAGGTTGACCAATGGTAGTGGAGGAGGAAAGCCAGCATGTTCCACCACCACGCACGGCGCCGTCCACGGGGATGTCATCGCGGGAACTGTGCGAGAACGACGACCTGGCGACCTCCATAGTCCTGGACCCCTACCTGGGCTTCATGACTCACAAAATGAACACAAGGTTTGTTTGTTTGTTTGTTTTATTGGGCTCTCCATTAGGCCTAGGAAAAAATGTTGTGTTTCCTGTTTCCCAATCAACCCTAGAAAAAACTGCTGACCCAAGCCTTTTTTGGGGGGCAGACCCCTGCAAGGAACATAAATATTTCGAGCTGATCAACCTTTACTAGCTCCATGATCTGACACCTGAGTGATGAAATGTTATCGAATTGGTTTTCCAACATGGAAAATATAATTGTTGTCATGCAAGTTTTACGTTGTACATGTTTTAATCGTACATTGGTTGAAATAGAAGAACTTGTATTTCAATGAAAAACATTACCAATCTGACCTTGTATTCTCACACTTGCACAGCCTCTTTCTGACTAATGATAGCCACTACTATGTATCTTAGACTTTGTTCCCTTGACTGTTACTTCTTAGTTATCTTGTCATCTCTCTTCCTTACCTATGCACTCCAACACTTCTCTTACTATCTGTAGCCCTACACCCTTGTACAGACGGTAAGTGCATGTATTTATACAACTAGATTTAAGTGTAGTACTTTTGCCCTCTCCTTGTTATCTTATATGCAAATTTTAACATCTAGTTATTCGTACCATTATCTTACAAAAGAATACTTTGTCTCTAAAAGGCAGTTGTAAACAAAGCGATGTGGGCTGTGGAGTTTATATAGCGCCTGGTTTTTTAAATCTGTCATGCTGATCCATCATCTGGTTTTTACTCATAGTAAGATTTTCTTTGTACACATAAGGTTTCGCCCAGTGCGTCCGGGAAAGAGTGAGGACCACAAACAGATTCTGGAGAACATGCGGAAGTCTGGGAACACGGAGAAGGCCTTCACAGACCTGACCCAGGGGGAGTGGATCTGGAAGTACCTTCAGCACAAGACTCAGCACCAGAAGAAGATATTCAAATCACATGTAAGTCACAGTATGGGCATCTGTACACTAAGTAGCATAGTGTCCTCTCTTTTTACTGTTTAGAGGTTGTAGTTTTCCGACAATCATTAATTTTCACCACGGCCTGGCACATTGGAGCAGTTGCTGACGTCACATATCCATAAAGTCTCGTGTGAATGGCACATTTGTCCGTAACTCTCTCAGATAACATTCGGAAGTGATTGGTCATTACTTATCCTGATGAAGGCGACAATAGTCATTGAAAATTTGATCCTTGTGTACTATTGTGTTGGAATAAAGTTCAGCATCGTACTATGATTACTACCAACACAGATGAACTTCCATGATAATGTTCACCATGTTTGTCAATGCATGTGTTGTTAAGACTTTCACAATCTTACCTTGTTCCCAGGTTGTCCGTTACCTGCACATGTTCCATCCTGATGCTGGGTTTGAGGTAGTCCCCTGTGACAGGTACTCCTTGGAAAAGCATGGAGCTAAGATTCTGGCCACCAAGGCTTGGTGAGTTCTTAAGGTGGTATGGAAGGGTGGCTGAGGACTTTGGGGACATCCTAAAAATACTACTTAGGATTACCTATGGTCATTGATTTTTTTTGTGTGAGTACCTTAGTGCAAGATGATAATTTATGCAAATTTTGATGACGTAATCATGACGTCATCTCGAGTTATGAGCCACGCCCCCTTTTTAGAAAAATCGATTTTTCTGGCCAGCGCTTTGGTTTTTATTCACCATATTTTGTTGAAAGGCACACACTAGTAATAGGAACAAACGTATGCGAGCATTTTTTAATATCTCAAAGTGTTGATTTTTTATGAATTTTTTTTCGTAAATGTCAACAGTGCCATGCGCCAGCACCCCTCCCCAACATATAAAGCGGCGCAGTGTGTCGGCCTCGCATACGATTTCCTCGTATAAGCTTATCTTTCAAAAAATACCACCTTTTTGTCTCTTTCCATGAACATTTTTTCCACAGTTTCATTCTTAAAATGCTGTATATGTCGTAGGGGTTACATAATGTCCATTTTGAAGCCCGAAAGAAGCCGAAATCGCCAATTTTTTGCGCCATTCCAAGGGCGCCCATCCCTCCCACCGAAAAATGGGTCATTGGCCTGTCAGCACGCTGTATTTAGCTTACTGCGGCGCTATTTGGAAAAACAGGCCGGGGATATGTCCAGTAAAAAGAACAGCCAAAAAGAACGCTAAGATTTCGCGCGAGTAGGGGTCACGTGACTCACCCAAAATGGCGGATGGCGTGGCTTGTTTACGAGCGGAGAAAGCTGTGCGCTTTGCGCCAGCATTTGGGCCGGTAGACGATCTTTTTCACGGCCGTATCCTACGTAGATTTGCAGATGAAGGTTTATGGACTATTCTGAGACCTTATTGGAGCAAATCTGCAGGGGTATTCTGGAGTTACGGACTTGTTTTTTAGGCCTACCCCCAGAGGAGATTGACGATCAGCAAGATCACAACACTGAAAAGTTATCGCGCGATACCGGAGTAGATAGCCCTGGAAAAAAAGCTTGCCCGGACGTGGTATGGGATTATGAGCGAGTATAATTTTGTTGATTATGTGAATTAACGTTGCACGTTGTCCTAGACTTGTGGAAATAATTTTCACGCACGACGTTCTATGTTCTATCTGAAAAGTACGGACTATCTCTGTAAATATCTGTTGGAACTGATTTTTTTTGTAAGCGGCTACTATTTGCTGTATGCTGTAAATCGTAAAAGATTATTGTTAGCAGTTACCGTAAGATTATGTAAAAATTCTGCTGAAGTTTGTAAGTATCGTATTTTTTAATAAAAACGTAGATTTTATAAAAATTACTAGTCGTTCTTATCATGTCTGTTCACTAGAACGTAACGTTAACGTTTAGTAGTTACAAACGTGTTGCAGTCGATACAAACTCAGAATAATAAGACAGTGCACAGGTAGACACGCGTTTTTATTCGGTAGAAAATTACTTAATGAGTTGTCTGTGAAAATCATGAAAGAACACAAAGGATAACGCCGCATAATGACGGCCGAGTACAGAGTATGAACTAGCAAGCGCGGCTCTTTATGCATGCAGTGACCCGGTCCGCCAGGCCGCTCATAACTAAACCAAGATCTAACTTGTGGCTCAAAGCAGACAGCTTCGTTTATTTTGGCAGTCGAATGTTTTTATATAGGAAGTTGTCAGATTATTTCTGGCGTTTTTGGTGATTTGTGTGGCTGCATATCTCTGGTTGTATGTTGCAACTTGACAACATTTTGCCGATACGAAGTGTGATAAACAATGGAAACGGCTTGTGTTTTCAGAAAATTATTATTCTTTGCATTTGGCAGGTTTTTACCCAAAACGTTTTGCAAACAACTGACATCAAACGCTCAGTAAAACTCTCTTTTCCAGTGTCTTTTCCCTTCCCAAAAATTATGAAAGTGAAGCTCTCAGTTTACGTAATGACCAGCGAGCCTGATTGGTCGAGCGGCGGAGTAGCTTTTAAAAATAATGTGCACACCCCCACTGGGGCCTGGCTGGAGCGTGAAAAAAATGCACAATTTGGCGGTCAATTTGGCGGCCAAAATGTGGTCATAGTGACAAGACGAAAGAAAATTATAAAAATAGACCCAAAAGACTACCATATCAGATAGAGTTCGTAGTATTTCTAAATATGCCTCAGCTATCCTTCTGGACCACCTTAAAGCTAAACAGTTTCTGCACAGATGGTATATTCTTCAGAGTGGTGATGTCTTATGAAGGAAAACTTCAAGAAACAAGATTTCTCGAAGTTCCCTTCATTATAAAATCTACATTTTCATGAATGTTGAACAAATAATTACACAGAGTGGTGAATAATAGACTCATTTTCATTTCTTCACATTTCCTTCTTTACCTTTGGAATTGATTTTGGCATTCTACATAAGTATCATTTTCCAATATTTGCTCATTTTGCAGCTGCTGTAAACGATTTACCGTATGCTAGAGAACAGATGTAAATTCATGCATACACAAGTCAAATGTCAATCAAATTAAATGACCAAATCAACCTAATGGAGATGCTAATAAAACAAACAAACAAACAAACTGATGACGTTTCTGTTTCTGTGATCCCAGGACTAAGAATGAGAAGATCCCCATGCTGGTTGGCTGTATTGCGGAGATAACGGCAGAGGAGGAGAACCAGCTGCTGCAGCCGGGGGTGAACGACTTCAGCGTCATGTTCTCCACACGCAAGAACTGTGCACAGCTGTGGCTGGGACCGGCTGCCTTCATCAACCACGGTACATGACATTGTCATGTTCACGGAATATTCATGTTATTATGTGATAGTGGTGTAATATTTGCTGTAGTAGCAGGGCTTGAAATTAAAGGTGGTCCAATGGCCGCTGACCACTAAAATTTAGGCTGGGACAACTAAAAAGACACTTTGGGACATTTTTGGGACAATAGAGAAATAACATCAGAATGTCAGCCCTTCTTTTGTTTATCAGGCACACGTCCCGGCTTTTGTTTGGATCCAGAAAATTCCCCCAAATTTCCAGTCTACTCTGCAATGGTGCACCTGGGAGTGAACATAAGCTATATAAAGTTGACTTCAAGTTGAAGTCTTACAGTACATGTACTTCTAAAAAAAACAGGTTGGGACAGTTCATCCTCACTTTGGGACAATTGAAATTTATTTTTGTGACAGTGCTGAGACAATAGGAAGAAAAGTTAATTTCGAGGCCTGATTTGTTGTAGTAATATAGTATATAAACTAAGGCTGTACTTGCAACATGCATAGTCACTTGATATTACATTATGATACTTAAATTCAAGTACACAAAATAATATCGATCAGCAGATTAGTTATTTTGACTGGTACCACCAATTTTGACAAATTTTCTTTCATTTTGCAGATTGCAGATCAAATTGTAAGGTAAGTAATTCCAAACATACTCACTTACCATCAGAGTGTCCTGAAAAGCATGAAAAGTACTTGGAGTAATATGAAAAAAAACCTTGTTATATATACTAGTAGGAGTTTGATTTACCGGTATGCAGAATCATTCATAAGAAAATTAAAACAGTTCAAAGTAGGTTGATGGCAACCATGATGTGGACATGATCAACAATACATGTGTTCCTCATCTTGTTCACCACAATTAAGCCAATCACATCTACTTTATTACTTTATCAGGACAGTTGTTCTCTTTTTTTCCCAGTTTGTGTCCACCGGTCGTGACACGGCGTGTGTGAAGGTCCTGAGAGACATCGAGGCCGGGGAGGAGATCACGTGTTACTACGGAGAGAGTTTCTTTGGTGACGACAACTCTTACTGCGAGTGTGAGACCTGTGAAAGGTGAGACTTACGATAAAATACATTTATGCATTTCTGCTTTAGAAAGGTGAATTGAAATGTGGTAATTGTCTTGTATGTATGCATGTTACATTCTTATCTCTTTGTCAAAGATGATGGCACTACTAAGTATGGTAAATAGAGAATATACATTGCCTGTTGGAAGGTGTTTCTTAGTTTTTCTTTTTTCTTTTTTTCTTTTTTGGATAAGTACTTATAGTAACAAAAATTTAACTTTGTTACCCAGGAGAGGGACAGGAGCTTTTGCTTCCAAAGAAGGGAACAAGGAAAAAGTCCACAACACCAAGTACGGGCTACGGGAAACCGACAAAAGAATACAACGTCTCCGCAAAGGCAGCAGTGCTTCAGCTACCTGCAACATGAGTGACAAAGCCTCCACAAGGAACTCTAAGTTGAGTTCAAGAAGGGCCTTGGGCGGCAGCATTGATGTAAACACGAGCGGACCATACAAGATAACAAAGTACGACCGTGAACTTCTAGAAGCACAGGGGATCAAGATTCCAGAAGCCAAGGTAGTCTTGACGAGAAGCGTCCTCCCAGAAAAAATGAACGGTTCAATAAACCTGACTTCTCTCAGTTTGAGGGAAAGGGGAAGGAGGACAACACGAAGGAGGCTGTCCGCAGTAGGCAATTCCTCAGTGCCTGACAAGCTGGATGCTGCTACTGGTAAAGAAGGTGTCCTCAGTAGAGTTATGTCTATGCCTGCGGCATCTAGGAAGAGACAGGTCGGGAGGAAACGCTCTGTGTCCCCTCCAAAGTTGAGAACTCACAAGGATGAAAACATGGAAGTGATTACAGACAGGGGACAGCTGATTACAGACACTTCCTTGATACCTCAGAAGGAGACAGACTTAGCCACTAAGACGTCACAAGCAGATCAGAAAAGCTCAAGTTCCGACTGTGAAGACTTTGTCCCAGAAGACCACAGCTGTGCTACAGACTTGTCAGCAGCTGCTGTGGAGAAGATGAAGAAAAGAGCTGCTAAGGAGAGGAGAAGGAGGAGACGGGAAGCCAGGAGGAATGGTACAGACGTGAATGGCAGGAAATTTTCACCTAACAGAACTAAGTACGATTCCCAGTTGATTACAGAGAACGGGAAGCTACCTAAAGTAACCATCAGACTACGCAATCGAAACTACCCAGAAATCATTGGAAGGACAGAGGCTATTTGTGGGGCTGAGAGTGAAGTGTCTGATAGAGGCAGAACGTCCGATGCTACAGGTCCAGGCACAAGCAACACTAAGCCAAGTGCAAATACCTCTGCCACTGGCCGTCCTAAGCTGAAAATCAAGCTTTGTCGGCCAAATGGGGAGTTCCAAGTGGAACAGAATGGCGGAAACCCCCCAGGTATCACGGAGCTAGGTCTGGCACCCTCACAATTCTATGGCAGAGACAGGAACAGTTTAGGTCATGGGGTAGAGTTCAAGGATAGTTCAGGGGTCACTAGAGTAGATTATAATCACATTTCGGAAGCATCCAGGGACCAAGAGTTCAAAGACAGTTCAGGGGCTACTAGGGGTCGAGGGTCAAAGTTCAGGGACAGTTCAGGGGTCACAGGTCAAGGGCCAGGATTTACTACCCGGAGGAGGAAGTGTAGTGGTGGAAGTGAGTGCTGCTCCGAGGAGTGTGTCGCTAGTAGGGCCAAGAAACTGCGACTGATTGTCGGCAACGACTCCATTGATATCGATTTGGCATCCAGAAACCGAGAAGTGAACGGAAAGAGTGGCCCTTGAGTAGCAACCTGGTAAATTATTGGCTAGTGTATCGTGCAAACAACCCATCCAGTCACAGTTCAATGTATAGCTTGTATATACATATCTCAATGTGTGTCTAGTGACTCTAGTCTATGTGAATGTTTTCTGTCAAATTGGCTCTTGAATGTGCAACAGTAGTTCAATATTTGAAGTAAAGTTTGAATACATAAGGTTTAAAAAGTTAGAACACAAAAGGCATAAAAAGTTGGGACACAAAAGGTTTACAAAGTTGAAGCATGCACAGAAGTTTCACAAAGTTGGAACAGACAAGCTTTATAGAACTCTCCGTTAACTCAAAACACCAGACTGAATTTTTAATACCTCCTTATTCTGTAAGGCCTAGGAAAACAAATGTTTTGTTTCCTGTTTCCCGACTGAGCCTAGAAACAACTGCCGACCCTAGCCCTTTTTTGGGGGGTGAACCCTTGCAAGGGACATACATTTCAGGGATCTCCCCAGAAATTTAGGACAGAATGGAGGAGGGTGCGAAATATCGGTAAATTTGACCAAAGAACCCTGGAAAAGGGTGTAAAAACACTAGTTTTGAAAATTAACAGGGTGGAGCTGAGATAAGGACTGGGTGGAGGAGCTCCACTGCTCCATTGTTTAGGGAGGTCCCTGCATTTTTCTAGCCCCATGATCTGACACGAGTGATGAAACGTACAATCGGTTTTCCAACACTGACATTGAAAATATAGAGAGGCCTCATGCAAATTTTACTGTATTGTGTAAGTTGGCTCACTAGAGGTCGCCAAAGTCTAATAAAAAAAAGAAAGGGGAGAAAAAGATAATCCCTACCTATTGACCCATATTTTTTTCAGGACCGAAACAGGAAACACACCATTTTTTTACTAGGCCTAACTTGTTAAGAGATACGAACCATTCCCCAACAGAAGCATGTTACCATGTATCAAACCATGTTCCTACTTAAAAAGCTAGTTTCCTTTTGAATACAGATCGTGCAGATTTGTTTATACTCAGTCAGCATCACAAGCTCAGCTTTTCTTTTTGGCTGTTATTTTCAGCTATAGTTATTGTAATCAACATCTTAAAGGTGCATTTTAGACAGTGTAAATATAAAGTGTATGAATACATGTAAAGGAAGCTGTTGCTATGTTGTACTGTAGGAAGCTTGTAGCTGTCAAGTGCTCAATGTGGATGTTCTCCACAAATGTTTGGTATAAAATACTAACTAGTCCAGACAAAAAAAGAAACATCTTATGATCATCTTGCGAAGTTCTAAATATCCTGTTATTTTCCAGATGAAAGAAAAGGGACAGGGTCACAGGGATATGAACAGGGATAGTGTTTTAGGCAAAAGTAAACTCCCATAGCAATTTATGTCTTGAGCATTATATCAGTAACAGTAGCATTAGTTTGATGTTTTTAAGTGAAAAGCCTTTCTCCAAAACGGTGCATATTTGTTGATCATAGAAATTGTTCATTGGTTTGTCCATAGATATGTACATAGTATTTTAATGTAATTATTTGAATCAGGGGGTGCCAATGTAGTAAGGTACCCAACAAAATAATGTTATCAGCCTGTCTGTTTTGACTGATTTCTGTCAGGTGGTCAGTGCGACCTTCTTGTCTGCTGCAATCTCTTGGAAATCGCTGACACTCCTGTGTTGAAGTACTGTATACTAGTTTTGTCAGAAATTGTAAAAATGTAAATAAAAAAATACATGTACTGTATCTTTTACTGTGTTATGTTCCCATCTTTGGATGAAGTAGCTCATCACCATAGGAATGGTAGCATACTAGTCACCAGGGTACTTGGTCCATCAATACTTCATCAGCGTCAAATTACAATTAAGTTGCTGTCATTTGAATTAAACAAATTGCGTTGGTTATATAGCGTATGCTTGAGTTATGATATGACGTTGATAGTGGTCAGAGACGCAGATTTGATTCACACACCATGAAAATGTGGACTGGTGGAGTACTAGGGGATTGGAGGGTGGGCTTTGTTGTAGAATATACACAAAGTAGATTATATCCCAGGTAACTTCATGCTGGGACTGGCATTCATATCCTCGGAGTAGCCGCATACGTACATGTGCATGTATACATACAATCATAGTGACACATTAATTACACGACTCGGTTATTCTTCAACATGATCACAGTATTATTTACGTTAACAGCCGTCGTCATCAGAACAACGCATTAAGCTCAAGTAACACGAACGAGAACGATATTTGCATGTGCCTCAACATAACGGTGTTACATCTGAATCTACTAGTAATACATGTATGGCATACAGTTTCTACCAACAGTATTCTGTACAGTTCACAGTTGGTGTCTTACGTTGTTTGTCTGTAAGTTTCTTCGTAAATAACTAGTAAGTTGTAACTATATTCAGCTAATGATACTATTTTTATTATACTATTTATTATTTTAACTAATAGTCAGTCCGCCGTTTCCGGGCGATAACAACATTTACAAATGTTTCTAAGGCGTCGTCCAATGGCCGCAAACCAACGCCCAATTCTACGGTACACGGGCTTGTTTGTCTTGGCACCCCGGTCAGCCGACTCCAGGGCGACGTCTCTCTCTGCCTGTTCACCAGACTCCAGGGCGACGTCTCTCTCTGCCTGTTCACCAGACTCCAGGGCGACGTCTCTCTCTAGCTCTGCCTGTTCACCAGACTCCAGGGCGACGTCTCTCTCTAGCTCTGCCTGTTCACCAGACTCCAGGGCGACGTCTCTCTCTGCCTGTTCACCAGACTCCAGGGCGACGTCTCTCTCTGCCTGTTCACCAGACTCCAGGACCATTTCTCCATTCTTTGGACTGTTCGTCTTCTCCTTATCGAGTTTCCAGCGGGGCAAATTGGGGTCACCGTTGTTAGTGTTTAGAATTGCTCGTGTCTCCTCGACAGCTGCCTATTTATTGAAAAGAAAGAGCCATCATTTATTATCACTGTAACCATCAATATGATGTGTAAAATATTAGGACGAGGCTTTCAGTTATGTACATTTAAACTTTCTTCCATAGTTCCTCTGTTGATATGGGTAATTAAGCTGAGTTCTACAGAATATGTAAAACTGATTATTGCATAGAAAAATATCTCAAACATTTACAATTGACTTTGAACAGCGCTGTGCCACCAGCAGTACTGAGTATTAATATTGCTTCTCCGTCAAAATGCAGTTTAACTGGATGTGTAAGGCATCTAAGCTGGCATCCCAACGTGCATCTGTTGCCAGCCCATTCTGCACGTCTTGTAGATACCTTCATGAAAAATTACCTCCATGAAAAAAGGAGGTATTGTTTATGGTGTGTCCGCCTGTCTGTCCGTCTGTCTGTGTGTGTTTCCACACATATGTAGTCAGCATAACTTCAGAACGCCTTTATGGATTGTGATGATATTTGGTATGTTGGTAGGTCGTAGGAAGACAAAGGTCAAGGTCAAATCCTGATGGTTGACCTTGGTACTGCAGCAAAACTTCCGGTTTGTGTATCGTTTGTCCTGTACATGCAATGGGCTCGGATTTGTGGTGACAGATAGCTTTTCCTGTCAGGAATAAGTGGTATATGTTTTGTCCCCCTAGCAGCTTGGTCTGGAACTGCAGGAGAAGTTTCTGGCGAAATCGTTGAAAGCGGATAAGATATTTTCATCATTTTTGTATGTAGGTATCTTTTAGAGAGATGAACATAATTAAATGCAAATTATGCAAATAAAGACTTCATTTGCCAAATTAGATTTTCTAATTAGGAATTTCTGTAATTTAAGTATTTTACATAATAGTACTTTCATACATGTAGCGTATGAAATCTACAGTAGGTGGAACATCAACAGATACCAATTATGCAGAAAATTGCCTAATTTGCAGAATTAAATAGGAAATTCTGCGATTTCTTAATGGTGAATGATGGGACTTTTATACCTTGCAACATGTGTAAGTTACTTAAATGTTAACATCATTATGCATATATAATGTTAACATGGAGGTCATTTGCATAATTAATAAGGACCTGTTGAATTGAAATAAGGGGCAACAAGCTAAGTATCATTTCATTCCCATTGTCCTTCAATGACTGCAATATATTACAAACTGGGTAATAATCGGAGGGATTCCTTCAGGCCCGAGTTTGCCTCTATCAGCTTCGGAGAGATCGAGCGGCTAGAAATTGGCCAAATACACAGATAATATGCTAGGAGAGTTCGTCCGAGCACGTACAGTTTACCGCTCCGAAATCGGAATGCTCCCAGGGGCTTCAGACTCCAAAATGTTAAATGCCCTAGATATTAGATAATAAATGATAGAAAATATGACAACACCAAGATAGTGTCTTACCCTGGTAACTCCCCTGCTTCGGCGGTAGTTTCCTTCCATAATGTCCTCGATCGTAACTCCGTCTGTACGGCATACCTCGTGAACTGCGGCCAAGCTCCTCTCGGTCAAGGTGTTGTAGTACCCAAGCTCGGTATACAGCAGCCCGCGCGCCACAGGCGACTTTCTGTTTCTCCTCGCGATCGGGCGAGGTATGCTGGACTCAGATGCCATTTTCAACTTTAGGATACCGGTAAAGCAAACACTTTACTTAGCGATAAAGCGAATCAACGACGTTCTAGAATAGTTCGAACGTTGAAATGCCGAAATGCCCCTAAATAACAAACTTGATTGTTAGTCGTTTGTTCCATCACAAACAATCCCTGTATCAAAGACACGTGACCAGCCATGGAAAAAACCATGACTCCGTAAAAAGCTATTATGATAAAATTTTTGACGCGTGGAATCTTATTACGTAACAAACAAACAAACAAACAAACAAACACAACACTCGACACATGCAAACAAATAAAAAAAATCCGATGACAATTTTTCCCCTTTTATTGTGGCGTTATGGCCATATGACTTTCCCGGACCCGAATATTGCGCTTTCAGTTATCTGCAAGCAGTTCATACGGCGGCTAATGGACATCGCACTCCTCTGGCCAATGGATCCATGTAAGAAACAGGAGGCGTGCAGTAGAAACTTGAGAAAGAAACCCGTGGTCCCGGGTCGGGGTTACCAGCTTCAAAATCCGACGCCTAAACCACTCGGCTAAAAAATCCAGACCCATCGGCCGGGTCAGTTGGTAGCGCCTATAAAGGCTATACCCCCCCCCCCCTGCTACAGATACTGCCTTGCCACCGTATGATCTGCTTGGAGATTCGAAGTTTGAAATAAACGGCACGTTGTTTCATACATGATTTGAAGTGCTGAACTTCAAGTGACTAGTAGCATCCAGGAGCTCGTTGGTAGCATGCAGATGACATGTAACGTCACCGTTTCTCAATGAACAAGGACTGTGGGTTGTGTTAGAAGAACTAAACTCACAAACGATAGAGGACACGGAGTCATAGTCACAGTAGACTGTGTATACCCACAGAGCTTTATATTGATTCCATCTGGTTTCTCGTGTCATTCTGCGACATGAAGTGGGTCATCAAATATGTTCCTCTTTGACCTCTGACTCAGCCTTTCACCCCTGACCTGGATGAACGAGTCAACAGAAGAAGGCTTGTTGTACAGACCGTGAGTTTTGATTTACAAACTGCGAGATTTCCGCTAAAAAGGAGAACCCAGGCAATAGGTAGGTGGATAGACTGAGTTTTTGTTGCCATAATGACAAAAGGAGGGTGTCTTTCACATTGTAGTATTCGGCATTTGCTTTCCAGAAAGTTTCAATGGTTGAGCTAGTAGTTTCATTTCCTTGTCAATTATCTGGGTTTACCGGGTTTTCCAGACAAAGCAATTATGGGAGCCCCGGTAATCATAATGTAACCACAGGCAGTTATGCTTCAGAGCAATGCTGGGCGGTACTAACCTCAGTACTTGTGTAAGAATTATTAGGAGAGTAGAAGCAGAAAGGCACTCCTGGCCCCGGGCTGGGGATCGAACCCACTGTATGAAGAATTAGGACAGTACAAGCAGAAAGACACTCCGGGCCGGGGGTCGAACTCACGTCAAAACCGGGCAACAGTTCACACTATAACCCCCCCCCCCCGCTGTTACACTTGTTGTATTTCTTCCACACTTACTATAGAACTAGAAGCATTAATCTCCAAGCAGATGTTAGATGTTTTACGCTGATCGACCACGTCTGGCGAGATATTAGACAACAACTGGTTTTGTAACATACTGTACATTTAAGGAGTATTACCCTCTTTGTAACAATTCAATCAGGGGTAAAACACTGACAGAAAGTAAGGACCCATGAATTTGCTTAGAGATTAGTTGCCATAGTAGGAGATGTGCTAGAACATTTCCGACATTTCTTTTGCTATCGTTGCACTTTTGATATGTATACAAAACGTGCATGTAGATACTAATGTTGTTTATAACGGGGGCATATTGTATGTAGACAGATACCTGTGATATATTCTTGAGACTTGAATGTTTATATCAAATGAAAATGGAGTCACAAGAGCAAGAGCATGAATGTATGAGTACATGTATCATGTGATTCGAAGAATACCATTTATATAATAATGCATTGATTTGTTTTCTAGGCACATGATGGAATCAGCCACCAGTGACCCAAGTACAAGTGGTTCCAGCAGAGTGACTCGGCTCTCTACCAGGAAGCAACAGCAGCCTCCTGTGCAGATCATGTCTTGTGTGAATGAGCCGTACACCTGCGACAAGTGCGGCTACACCACGGGTGTCCGCAGCACCATGGACGCACACATGCGCACTCACACGCTTCAGAACTTCTTCGTGTGTGGAGAGTGCGGCTACCGAGCTGCCGACAAGGCCAACGTGCGTCGGCACATGAAAATCCACACCGGTGAGAAGCCCTACATGTGTGACGAATGTGGGTACAGAGCGGTGGACAAGAAGGCAATGGATAGACACGTGCGGACCCACACTGGTGAGAGGCCTTTCGCCTGTGGGAAATGTAGTTACAGGGCTGCCCGTCAGAGTACGCTCACCCTCCACATGAGGACTCACACTGGCGAGAAACCATTTGCCTGCGGAGAGTGTGGCTATCGCTCGGCAGTAAGGTGCACTATGGACATACACATGAGGATCCATACCGAGGAGAAACCTTACGTGTGTGGTGAATGTGGCTACATGGCGGCTCGCAAGGGCAGCATGAACAGGCACATGAAGACCCACACCGGAGAGAAATCCTTTGTGTGTGGAAAATGCGACTTCAAGACGACTCGGAAGAGTAACTTGGAGGTGCACGCGAGGACTCACACGGGCGAGAAACCGTTCGCATGCACAGAGTGCGACTACAGGGCAGCTGACAAGTCCAGTATAAACAAGCACGCAAGAATCCACACTGGTGAGAAGCCGTACACTTGTGGGGAATGTGGCCACAAGATGACTCTCAAGAGCACCTATACCAGGCACATGAGGACCCACACAGGCGAGAGGCCTTTTCGTTGCCTGGTGTGTGGCTACAGGGCAGCTCAACAGGGCACAATGGAGAGACATATGGCAACCCATAGAAGTGTCAAGGGTGCCAGATACCTGAAGGACACATCTTCAGGGAAACAGGATGCTAGAATAAAGAAGGAGAAATAGTACAAAGGATGTATTCTTTGCATGTGCTGGTAATTCATGACTGGCCATATAGTAAATGTCACATATAATTCTATTAATACCTAGCATTAGGGTGCAATCTGGAGTGGTTTTATGAGCATTGGTAAGATATGTAAATAATTCTTTGGCCAAGTAAGCTCACATTAATTTTCATATTACTGCCATCTGCTGAGGACATTTTGATTTGTGAGCATTGGAAAGAACTGTCATTTTGTAGTAAATATCCATGTAAATAATTGGTTAGTTTGATGATTATTGATCCCATATTGTACATGAACTACTTTGTATATAGGGCAGATTCTTTTTACCTGCTTTGTGCACTTATTTTAGACATTCTAGAATCTTATGTAGTAGAGCTTTTAGCTGAACCATAAACAATGTCACGTGTACATGAACTTTGCAAATGGTTTGTTTTTGGACAGGCAAGGTTATTTTAGGAGTATGAATTGAGTATGGCACAACTACACTGACCATACATTAATCTCACTAACAATGGTGCAAAATTAATACTAGTATTCAAGATCATATTGCTTTTTGATTACTGTACCAT